ATCAAGAGGAAAGATAAAATTCGAAACACCGACATACGGCGTAGGACAAAACTAACCGACATACTGATCAGAATAGACCAACAAAAATGGAGGTGGACAGGACACTTGATGCGTTCTTCTTCTTCTTCAAAGAACAAATGGAGCAACATCGTCACACAGTGGTATCCACGTAACGGCAAGAGAAGTAGAGGACGTCAGTACAGACGATGGGAGGACGAGCTAAAACTGACAGCAGGTCCAAACTGGAGGAGAGTCGCCTTGGACAGAACACAGTGGAAAGAATTGGAGGAGGCCTTTGCCGAAAGGCGCACTGTAATTAGGGATATTTTATAATTTTAATTTATATATACTAACTTTAAAACTTACAGTAATAAAGGCTATTTTATTTTTATTTATTTATTATAATAGCACTCGAGATATGGAGTTATTGCAAAGTGATGTCGTGGGGCAGTGCGATCATAATAAAATGGTTTTAAAATACTGTTACTGAAAAGAAACTACAAACTACCATTCCCTTCAAATATATATCTACTATTAAGGGAGTATTAGGTATAACGCCATTGTGAATAATGCTTCTAGAATGCTAGGTTTCATAAAATGGTAGACTAAATGTAAGATGTTATACTTATTAGAATTCTGAAGAGTGCCTGGGTCTGGCTATATACTCGGGTTGAATAGAAATCTACCAAAATCACTACCACAATTGAATTTTTACACATTTATGTTCTTAGTAAAGAAAATGACTGACCTCCAGTTATTTCGTCACTAGCATTCATATCCCACAATAGTACACAGTTATCTGCACGGTGCTTGTCCATCCCCACAGCCAACAGATTGCTTTCCGTATGGCTCCATGCCACACTGTTGCAAGCTCTAGGATACCTTGCAGCTACAAACAATCCCTATATTGGCTTTAGGGATATTACTAGTTTCTCATAATTTTCACATAATGCAAAAACTCTATAAGAAAACATAAAATCAAGCAAATAAACTAGACAATTTAAATTAAGAGAGGTAATAAAGAAGAAATCTCAATATTATATCTCAGACATAGTAAAGTTATTTAAATGATGCTGTTCTTAAGTGAGGCTGAAGTCACTTGTTGTCATTGAATCAGTCATTGAAAGCAGTATCCTGAATTAATTTAATTGATGGCTATTTTTTTACCAAATTCTTTTCCGATAAGACCTAGAGGGTCATAGGCCTGTTTTAGACTTGTGAGTGTGACTCGTCCACTTTCTAGACCTAATGCCAGGATGGGGTCTGGTTGGTCAGAAATAGCACTGATATCTACACAGCGAACACCATTTCCACTCTGTGAAGCAATCACTGTAGCACCACGAGTGGATGAGATTTGTGTATCTAAAAAAATAATTAATATTGTAATGAAACAAATAATGTTTTTATTAGGTCAGAAAGTATAAGTTATTGACTAATGGGGTCTATCCCAGATAGTAACATTTAATTAAGTCGATACGTACACGATGTCTTTTTCTCAATATCTTTAATCCGAGCAACCTCGTAAAGAGTTATATCATGACCCCACACAATAAACTTATCATGGTGTACTGGAGACCAAATAATATCGGATTTGCTAGTAGATAACATTCTACGGGTCTTTTACTTAGCGTATTTTACTATATATTCATGATAAATAATAAAGTAAATTAAAAGAGGATGAATCGTTAACGATATCATAAATAATTACGATAACAAATCCAAACACCAATAATAATATTATTTGATTTCAATTAAATCCAAATAAAATTTAATCTATGGCTCTAGTCACAGATCAAGTAGAGGTCTGAGGTTATCATAGAACCTTCTATTTATTATATAAAGTACTGTATGCCATAGACTTTTTTTTGAATAATAACGGAGTACATTTGTATATAATAATAATAATATAGCAGGTAAATGTGATTTATTACTATGTTACTGAACGTTGGCGTTCATGTTTAAAATGTAAATAATCTTTGAGGAATAATAATCACTCAACTTTGATCACCGGTACCGTTTAAGTAACCGACACTACGGTAGATTGACAGTTGACTATTGATATTTCACATAGCGACTAAAAAAAACAATAAACTGTCAAACGTCGATTTCAAGACTAAAGTATTGTATGTAATTTGTAGTAGTTGATACTTGGTAGTGTTGGTAGTAATTTAAGATTATTTTACATTTTTATAGAGAAATTTTGTCTTTAACTAAGAAAGTAAATAACCACGGATAGCAGTGACAATATAAGTTTCGAATAATTATATGTATTAGTTGGATAATCGGTGAAGGTTCTCTCGTAGCACTGGTAAGTCATGTTAAGTTTAGTGGAATGCAGGCTAAAGCCATTTTGGGGTGTAGACTAGATTAGTGACGTGATTGTTTACTACGGTGGCAACGCCTCGCCAGTTGCTCTCTTCAGAACCCAGTTTCTGACATGTTGACGTGACTGGAGTTGTAGGTAGACGAAAGAGGGTGGCCGTTAAATTCTGTTACGGTGATATCGCTAATAAAATTGATAAGTTCATATTGTGCTAAGTTAAACCCTTAAAGATATTGTGACACTACTTAATAATACAAACTTTAAAGTGTAAAATATACTATGAATATTGTTTCATTGTAATATGGGATTACACAGATATTTTAAAATCTTTGTGGAGGTTCTGTTAATTCTATGTAATGTTCTCAACCATAGCATATAAGCTATCTACAACTTTCTTGGAAGAACAAAAGGTATTGCTACTATAAAAACAAACTTCCCAGGATTGTGTTGCTCTGGGTTTCTCTTTTGTAGAGTTGCTAACTTTAATTTGTTAAGTTTTAAGTTCTTGAGACAGTCTCAGACTGTCTTGTCATGTAGATTGAAGTAAATAATGACTTAAAATTACATTGACAAGCATTGCTTTCATGTACATAATGTAGACTTCTATGAAATTCAAACATTACACACCACTCAATAACATTGAAATTCTATTTGTGTAAGATTCTTGCCACATAACAATATCTGTTACCAGATTGTATACAAGAACATTTTAATACTTTATTTTTTGATACTTGTACAGCAAAAATCTTTTACTAATTATCATTATTTTTGTAGACTAGAACATAGAGAATAATCTCTTAGAGGTATAAACCTCGAAGAATAAAAATGTATACACTAAAGCTTGTAATGTTATTTAGTTATCTATTATATCAGTTTTAAATAAACACTAACAAAATCTACATCTAACTTTTCTCTAACAAACAAATCTACAGTATAACTTTTATATGTCAAACTTGAAGGGAGACAATAAAATTGTGTTATAAAGTTTCCAATTTGGATGGAATGGATTACAAATATTATTGCCACTTATCGGGGTTTGACTTAAAAGAGGTGTTATTGTATAATTATCCCCATAGATTAAAATGCTAATACTTGGGAACTACTTGGAGATTATTTACTGGCTTGCAAGTGCGTTTCTGACTTTTAAAGAATTGGTATTCTCTTAGCGTGTGATAGACCCTAAGTAGAATAACATGTCTTTTTGGGAGTGGCACATTCTAGAATGAGATTTTTCTTTTATAAATTAATTGTTCTTAGTAACGATATTTAGAGACAAACAATTATTGTGCAAAAAAGTTCAGTCCTCTCTCTGCAAGACTCCAGGAAGTCCAAACACATCCATTGGTTGTGCTATGTGATATGGTTCAAGAGCCTATTTGAGAAAAAGGAATAACAAGTGTTATTAGTTATTACTGTCCAATCTTAATCAGCATAGCATAAATAGCATTATTCTTTTTAAATAGCTTGATGCTATGTTTATCATTGATTGGTATCCAATATTTGTACATTAACAGTATTAATAAAAACTTATAACACTATTTTTTTTATCTTTAGCAAATTTCTTTTACTTGGTATTTTAGTTTTCGTTACTATTTATTTAAATTGAGTTTAATAAGCTGGCACGTATTTGAAAACGCGAGATACTCGATACTATTTACGATATTCAAACACACATTATGATTTGGGCAATAACTACACACACACACCCGTTAGTTTGCATGTGCTTAAAGACACAACTTGTTGCTGCATTTGGAATACTCTATATCAATTTACTTTGTCAATCATTGGTCGGTTTAACGAGATTATTCCATACGCAAGTTATGCTTTGTTCTTGTGTCATTATAATGCAAATTATGAAAGACCCGCTCCCCGCGGAAAACAGATTAGTCCGGAATTAAATGTGGACCGTGGGCGCATCGTTCGCTGTGAATCATAATAATGAGTACTTATTTTCCGGTATAGCTTGATTTGAATTTCTTTTCTTGCGTATATGTATTTCGTACTACTCTCTTCTCTTCGTTACGTGTCATCCCCGGGTTTTGTAACGGTGACTAGGACAAGTTCTGCTGAACAGGCGCAACGTGTCGGTGTGTTATGGGAATCGGGTGGCCTCGTTCCCACTAGGTAAACTCGTTAACACAACAGTAGTTGACACGATACGCTTTCTATCATTCAGTGTGCCACTTCATGACATATTCATTACCGACAAGAACCAAGACTTGCGCATTTTTAAATTGTAATAATCTATTTATTTAACATTTTCGGGTCTAAGTTGGCTAATAGTCGCCTTGTGCGCGAAATACATCTAAGATTATGATCGATACAATACGAATCTTATATGCCACAAACCTCAAATTATATTATTCATTTAGAAAATAGCATCACACACGACTTGTTGATGTTATTTATTTATTCATGAAAATAATAAATGTACAGCTAATTAAGAGACAAACCCAATGGACAATTTAATATAGGTACTATTTTATCATTTCACGATGCGGAGTGTTAAAATTTAATTTTCGTGTCAAAGTGGGAAAGGTCGCAAATCGCTGGCCTGTCGTTCGGTTCTCATTAGCGTCAGGAATTGAAAGAAAAAAAAAACACTTTTAGCATATTTGGCACTTGTTATGAGGATTTAGGTGTAATAATACAACTATTGCAGCGCAACGCGTCAAGCATGTCGAAGAAGCCGGCGGCGGCGCCGACGTTGCACAAGGTGATAATGGTGGGGTCCGGTGGAGTGGGCAAGTCTGCGCTCACGCTGCAGTTCATGTACGACGAGTTCGTCGAAGACTACGAGCCCACCAAGGCCGACAGCTACAGGAAGAAGGTACGGGAACGGTAGTGGCTCGCGGCCGGCGTTCGGCTGTCGCGTCGTCGAGCAAGTGCGTTTATGTCGACGTCGGATACAGGTGGTGCTGGACGGCGAGGAGGTTCAGATCGACATCCTGGACACGGCGGGGCAAGAGGACTACGCCGCCATCCGCGACAACTATTTCCGCTCGGGCGAGGGTTTCCTGTGCGTCTTCTCCATCACGGAGCCCGAGAGCTTCGACGCGACGCAGGAGTTCCGCGAGCAAATCCTACGCGTGAAGAACGACGACAACATCCCCTTCCTGCTGGTCGGCAACAAGTCGGACCTCGCCGACAAGCGCCGGGTGCCGCTCGACGTCTGCCGGGAGCGCGCCGCCGCGTGGCACGTGCCCTACGTCGAGACCTCGGCCAAGACGCGCGACAACGTCGACAAGGTGAGGCCTCTCGCTCGCACGCGCCGCTCGGCGCCATGTCCGTCTCGCTTTTCGTTTCGCTTTTTGTCTCGCTTTTCGTCTCGCTTTTCCCCTCACTGACCGTGCGCTGCTGGTGTGCGCAGGTGTTCTTCGACCTGATGCGGGAGATCCGGTCGCGCAAGTCGGACGACGGCCGCGCCACCAACGGCGACGTGCGCGGAAAGAAGAGAAGGAAAATCAAGTGCGCCATCTTGTAGGCGCCCCCTTCGCCCTCCGCCCCTCGAGAAGACCCGCTCCCGAGTCGCTATCGTGTTGTCGCTCGCGCTAACTGTAACGGTGATAATGTCACCGAACTGTCGCGGTTCGGCTTCGAGTGCTCGGCGTCTGTGTTAACTTTATGTAATGCACCGCAAACTTATTTTAATTATTAATTATTAATGTTGTCGTACTTTGTGGTATATGTAATATTTAGTCGTCGCGTCGGGGACGAAAGGCGCACGCGCAGAATCGCTTCTTCCGCTTCGGCTATCCTCGACCGCCGAAGGCGACCTACTCGAATAGGCCCGGCCGCTGCCGGAAATTATTTATTGCTTTGGAGCAGCGGCGCGGGGCTCACGTATCATAAGATAGTTTTTATAACCGAGCGAGTGTTGTACGTATAGAGTTAAGTGATAAGTTATCGATGTTTACGCGATGTATTTTAGAGCGATACGTTTGTGATGAATAAAAATATATCGATTTGCAAAACCCGTCTGTCGTCTCTTCTCCCGTCCACTTCCCGGAACGACTCGTCCGGCGTCCGCCGATGTACAGTGCGAGCTTTTTCAGGCCTTCCTTACCCTGATCCGCGCCACGTCGGCTCTCAAGACGGGGCTCGTCGCGGAGGCCGGCGCGGAAGAGGGGAGACGGTGCTGCGCCGTCGTCTGACTCCGGGTCTCTTTCGCGGAGCCGAAGAGCGGGAGAGTCTGAATCGCGAGGGGTCGGCGAATAAAGTCAACGATCCCGATAAATTAGTTTTATTTCCGAACGACGCCGGGTCAGCCGAGCTGGCAGCGGTGCGCGCAGCCGGCCGGGCACAGGTCGTGTTCGAGCAGCCAGCGGCGCATGTGATGCAGGTGGCCGCCGTGCGAGCAGCCCTGGCACCAGGCATACAGTCCACGCACGGGCTGGCGGCACACGGCGCACAGCTCGCCCGGCACGCGCCCCGCGCAGCGGTCGCAGCCGGCGCCGCGTGTCCGCCGGCCGCAGCGCCCGCAGCACACGGCCACGCTCGTCGACTGCTGCGACAGCGCCCACACGCCGCCCAGCCACGCGCCGCGACCCACCTGCCCGGCCACCCCCCACGCCTTGTGCCGCTGCAGCAGCTCCATGTAGCCCAGCAGCCACTGCTCCTGCGTGGGCTCGTCGATGTACGCCAGCAGCTCCCCGCGGTGCTCCTGCAGCGCGAGCAGCACGGTGGCCGCCGTCTGCACGTCGCCCAGCGCGGCGTGCAGGTGCAGCGCGCTCGCGAGCAGAGGCGCCAGGTCGACGCGGCCGCGCCCCTCGGCGGCGCCGCCGGTCGCGTCGCCGTCCGCGTCTCCCTCGTCGCCGAGGGGCCCCGGAGCCGGTGGATGCGGGGCGGGCGAGGTGGGCGCGGGCGGGTGCGAGCCGGAGCCCGTGGAGCCGGCCGGGGAGTCGGGCGCTCCCGCCGCGGCCGACTGTCCGCTCGAGTTGGCCGCCTCTGCGCCCGGTTTCGACGTTAATTCGGAAGGATGGTCGCAGACGACGGTCGCTCGCGAGGCTCGAGGCGTACCGTTGTGGTCGTGGTCGGGCTCGTCGGGCGGCGGGGGAGGGCGCAGCGCGAAGGCCTCCTCCGGCAGCGTCCACTCGGCCGCCTCGACGTCCACGAAGTGCAGTGACGCCGCAGACACCCAACCGTCCTCTGGGAAAACGAGGCGTGATTATGAAGGCGCTCCCTCGGGGCGGAGTCGCCGAGGCCGAGCGTGTCTCACCCGATTGCGATCTGGCCCGATTCGGCGGCACGTAGATGGTGTGCGTGGGCAGGCCCAGCACCCCGCTGTGCTTGTGGCTGCGGCTCTCCCACTCCTCCGTCTCCTCCTCACGCTCCTCCTCGACGCCGCTGAAACGAGGGCGACTATAGCTTCGTTTCTCGACGTTCTTCGTCGCCGGCGTCGCTACTCACTCGTGCGAAGGGGTCGGCGGCGCGGGGTCCGGGCGGGGAGGAGGATCGCGGGGCGGCGGCGGTGCCGGGGGCGGGCCGCTCGACGACCGAGCCGAGTACACGGCGCCCACCACCTCCCACACGTGCGCCGTCTGCGGACCAATTCAAATCCGGTCAATTTCCAGACTAAAACATAATTGACTATAACTCCGATACAAATCCTTACGAGTTAATTATCACAAAAACAATAAAGTGTCCAACGAACAAACCCTTAGATGTGGACCTGTTCTGTTTAAGTTTTTTTCTAGATAGACGAATATAAGAACTATAGAAGATGTCCGTACATATCTCGCAGCCATATCCAACAAGTTCTGGTATTTAATTAATCCATAAAATAATCGTTGAGTTTACATTTCTTAGTAAAAGTTCTAAAAATTAATTCTCCATATTTTTTTCTATTTTTTTAAGAGCATCATTCATCAAATGTTTCCTCTAGTTCTATTACGTCACCTGTCACTGTTAAAGACGTGTTTGGAACATTAAGTTGTATCAGTGGCGGATTTACCAGCAGGCTGAGTAGGCTGGAGCCTAGGGCGGCAAATTGTAGAACCGATTTTTTTGCTACCTCATAGAAATGAGAAAGATTTCTGCATGACGGTTTTCTAATGTTTTACAGTAACAAATTTTGTACAACCCTCACCTCTAATCGACCTCTGCGCCTTCAGCTCACACTTTGTATGAGTGAAAAGAGCGAAATTACAGAAAGTGTATTTCCCTCTTCCCTCTTCCCCCTGTCAACCTATATATGTCAGTCCTACTACTGGTGGGAGGCTGCAAACTGGATGGTTTGTGTATTATTTTGTGCTCAAAAATCAAATCCAACCTTTATTTTACGTGCAACGAAATTGTTGAATTCTAAAAAAAATCAGAGGATATGACAGTTGTAGAAAGGGCGGCAAAAACTTCACAGCCTATTCCTTGAAAATTTGTAAATCCGCCACTGAGTTGTATGTGCACTTATAGGCGCATGAGTGATATAAGTTGTGCTTTGACGGCCGTTTGACATGACAGTTATTAGGTAGGGTTAAATCTAGCACCGTTGCTATTTTCTGATTATGATTAACGAGCGTTATTAACCTGCCAAAGTCCTTTTTGCCGACGATTTTTTAAGGTTTTTAAGATAATTGAGACAAACATGCACCGCTTTCTTGGAATGAATTAAATAAACTCCCGGCTCTACGAATATAGCTTAGGAAGAACTACTTTCAAAGCTTATATAAAAGAAAGTACAATTTTTCTTTATCCTACGAAGTTCTTGATGGAGATTTGCTTTGAAGGTAAAGATTACCTCTTAACGATATAACGTTTTTTTTTTTTTTTTTCTCTCTCCCCCCCCCCCCTTTTTTTCTTTTTTTTTTTTTTTTTTTTTTTTTTTTTTTTTTTTTTTTTTTAAAAAAAATTTTTTTATTTTTTTTTTTTATATTTTAAAAAAAAAAAAACCCCCCCCCCCCCCCCCCCCCTTTTTTTTTTCCTCGGGGGGGGGGGGGGGGGGGGCCCCCCCCCCCCCCCCACCCCCCCCCCCCCCCCCTTTTTTTTGTTGGGGGGGAAAAAAAAAATTTTTTTTATAAAAAAAAATAATTAAAAAAAAAAAAAAAAAAAAAAAAAAAAAAAAAAAAAATAAAAAAGGGGGGAGGGGGGGGGGGGCCCCCGGGGGGGGGTTTTTTTTTTTAAAAAACTTTTTTATTGTATAATAATAATAAAGATTTCCCTGACAAATATCGAAGGCTGTCGATTTGGAATAAACACAGAGCAACCGTCTCTTTCCCGTCTGTCGTAAAAGCGGATGGAGCAGAGGTGTCTCAGCTACTTGCTGCTTTTTTTCATATCGCTAACTTGGCTGCGAACTCCTTAGATCGTTTCGGTGACATCCAAGTTTGTAAGTTTGTTTGTAGTTAAAAATATTCTATAATCACTAGATCCTAGCAAAGGCCAGGATGTGCTACTTACCCCCTCGTGCATCCCGCTTAAGGAATCGCTCTCCGCTGGAACCTTTCCCGAGGCATGGAAAGTTACTTAACACACTCCGATTACTTGTCAGATACAATCGATCGACGATATTGACAAAGATCAGACATTACGGGATACACGACAACTTGCTCAGATGGATAAGCTCTTATATAAATAATTGCACCCAAATAGTGTCCATTAAGGGAATAAATAATTATTTGTTTCAATTCAACTCAACTTGAATAAATGTCATATATTAGGTCCTTACATATGAAATTGGCGTTTTGTATGGGAGGAACAAAAAGTCGAATATTTTTAAATATAATATATTTAATTAATCAAAGTATGAACCATTGTTTTCTATGCACTTTTGCCATCTCATAGGTAGTTCATTGATCCCTTTACTAAAAAAAACCAGTCGGACGAGAATCAATAAAATCTGTGAAGGCGATTTGGACTGCCCCATCAGAGTTAAATTTTTTCCCTTGCAAGAAGTTTTCCAAATTTCGAAAAAAAATGGTAATCTGTTGGAGCAAGGTCCGGGGAGTACGGAGGATGTCTTAGACATTCCAATTGAAGCTCTTCTAATTTGGTAGCCGTCTGTTGTGCAGTGTGTGATCTAGCGTTTCGTGAATAGCATGGGTGGAGCGATTGAAGTAGGTTGTTTACAACTAGCTTTTCCATCATGGTTTGCAATTGCTGACAATAGACATCAGCCGTAATAGTTTGGCAGATTTGAGAAAACTGCAATGAACAATACCGGCACTAGTCCACCAAACGCTTACAAGTAACTTTTTTGGGGTTAATTTTCGCTTGGGGCAGGATTTGGCTGGCTGGCCAGGATCCAACCATTGCGCTGAGCGCTTCCGATTATCGTAAAGAATCCATTTTTCATCACAGGTAATGATTCGGTTTAAAATACCTTCATTATAGTGCCGGTTCAGTAATGTAACGCAGCAGTCGACGCGCGTTTGCCGGTTTGCTTCAGTCAATTCGTGAGGTACCCATCTTTCAAGCTTTTTAATCATCCCAATTTGCTTCAAGTGAATTAAAACAGTTTTATCACTATCACCGCAGCCTGCAGCTAACTCGGACGTGGTTTGCGATGGATCCGCTTCCACAATAGCCTTCAATACTTCATTATCAACTTGGGTCTCAGGCCGTCCACGGGGCTTGTTCTGCAGGTCGAAATTTCCAGAACGAAAACGTTGGAACCAAAAACGAACTGTGTTTTCTTTTGCAACATGACCGCCATACACATCATTCACCCTTCGAGTCGTTTCCGCAGCACTAGTGCCACGGCGGAACTCGTACTCGTAAATAATGCGATACTTTAAGTTTTCCATTTTGTAAAATGAGTGACGCAAACAGAAAAAAACAAATGAATGACGGTCATCGAAGCACAAATACATGAGTAAATAGCTGTACAAATTTGAATTTGGAATTCCTTACCAAAGAGGAGAACATCGTGATTAAAGTGGCCAGTACGAAATACGCCAATTTCATATGTAAGGACCTAATAGTAAGTTTTTCGAATAATTTAATACACTGCATTTCCATTTATTATGCTTTCGGAAATATTGTCATATCTCGTAAAGAATCCTTTTTTTTTTTATAGGACGGGGCAAACGGGCAGGAGGCTCACCTGATGTTAAGTGATACCGCCGCCCATGGCCACACGCAATGCCAAAGGGCTCGCGAGTGCGTTGCCGGCCTTTCAAGAATTGGTACGCTCTATTCTTGAAGGACCCTAAGTCGAATTTGTTCGAAAATACTTCAGTGGGCAGCTGGTTCCACAAAGTGCGGCAAAAACTGCCTTGAAAAACGCTCAGTTGTGGAACGGCGGACGTCGAGGTGATACGGGTGGAATTTCGTACACTGCCTCGACGTCCGATGACGAAACTCAGCTGCAGGTATTAATCCCAACAACTCCTCTGAACACTCTCCTTGGTAAATGCGGTAGAAGATGCAGAGTGACCCCACATCTCTACGCAACGCCAAAGGATCAAGCCGGAGAGGGATTGGTCGTCGACGATTCGAACCGCTCTGCGTTGAATACGGTCAAGTGGAAGGAGCTGGTACTGGGGAGCCCCCGCCCAGAGGTGAGAGCAGTACTCCATGTGGGGCTGAATTTGCGCTTTATATAGTTGCATGCGGTGGCCCGGGGTGAAGTACCACCTCGCCTTGCTGAGCACACCAAGCTTTTTGGAGGCTAATTTAGCCTTTCTCTCCAAGTGACCGCAAAACTGAACGTCGTTCGATATGTCAACGCCAAGTATTCCAATGCTGGCTGTGGGTTTAAGAAGAGTGTTTTCGAAAAGAGGAGTAGCGACAAGTTCCTTTCCCTGCAGAACCACTTTGGCGACAGAGGCAGCAACGGAATCTGGAGCTTCCGGCGAAAAGCACATAAGCCCCCAAGGGTAGGACGCAAAGAAAGACCGCATCCCGTCTCAATCTGCTGACATGTAGTGCCAAATACGGCGACAACCCAAAAAGCGGGGCCGTGAAGGGCGCGTAGAAGGCACAGTACTCCGGACCACACAATGATCTGATGAACTCAATGGCGGGTCAACAGAGACTTGATAGTTCTCCGGATGTGAAGTCAGCAGAAGATCCAACAAAGAGGGTTTATGACCATCCACATCTGGTATTCGCGTAATCGCAGGGACCATTTGTGTCAGGTCGTAGGCTAAAGCAAAGTCGTGAAAGAATCTTCCCGCGTGATCGGTGGTATCAGAGCCAAGCCAATCGGCATGGTGGGCGTTAAAATCGCCAAGTATCACGATTTCAGCGGTAAGAACCCTTTCGAGCAGGGAATCTGTAGCCGTTTGAATGTGCTCGATGAGTCGGTTAGTTTCGTCATTTCCGCTACCTATACGGGCACGCATAGAATCGCGGATGGTCATCGCAGTCTACGCGCAGCCAGAGGTTAGATAGGTCCCTTCCTTCAAGCGTCCCGAGGCGACGAGAACAGATATCCTCCCTGACGTACACGCAAACTCCCGCCCGCGGCACAAATGAATGTTCCAATTTGTACCCCAGGTAGGAGAGGTAAGAATTATCAGCCGGGGAGGAAATCTGAGTCTCAGTAAGGAAGAATAAGGCCGGCTTCGTGGTTTCTAAGTAAAAGTGAACCGAGTTTAGGTTAGTTTTCAGCCCCCTAAAATTTGCAAAGTCCACCGTGAGCGTGGAAGGGGTTGCCTAAAGGTCGATTTACATCAAACGAACATAGAGCTAGAGCTAGAACACAAGAACGCTTTGAAAAGACCGCTCAGTGGCGCGAGCACGTCCGAACACGCTAGAACGCTCTAAGCAACTGTTCGCGCGCTCTTGCGCCGTTTACATCAAGCGAACGAACATTCTTAGAATATTCTATAGAATCTTTGCGAACGCACTAAGAACAACGAAAGAATGCTCTACGCCTGTTTACACTAGAAGAATTTGATGTAGTGGGGATAGAATGAGCATTCGCTCGTTTGTTGTAAATCGACCTTTAGGTAAATGCTTCCGTTTGCCCCGAGATCGAAACCTATTAATACATAAGATTTTAGCGCAGTTTTTGCCCCCCCCAGAATACGAAGGGCAGCCTGTGCATCCATCATCGAATACCAATTTGTTCCAATGTTCCGATGATGGACGCCCAGAGGGGGATTCTCCACAGCGGAAACGTGTGGTACCCCCCTGGGGTAATCTCTGTTTGAACTGCATCTTCATATTTAGGGGGGGAAGATGGGCTCCGGGAGTCTCACTCACCGCACGAAACGCAAGTACAATAAGATGAACTTATTGCATCACTTCACGCCGGTTTTCTGTGAGACAGTGGTACTGCCCCGGTCGTGCCTGCCCATTTGGCTGAAGCCCTAAAGCAACAGCATGGCACTCCCACTAGGATGGGGGTTGACTGATTGCACTGGTGAAATAACCTCTGTTACAGGTTATTTCACCAGTGGGCGATGGGGTCGTCACATCCCGACGCCGGCAAAAGGGACTTAGGGCTAATATTTGATAATACTCTTAATCAAAACGTTTTGAATATGGCGCTGTCAGCAGGTCTCCCTTCTATAGAACTCATATAAACAGGATTAAAAGGCGGTTTTTATCGATATTGTGTGTCCGTTTTTACACAAACCTACGACTCTCGTCTTAAAAGATCTGACCTCTTCTCAGTTGTTACGTATCTTTACAAGATAACATATATTCATCCAGAACGGCTGGCTAAAATCCCTATCCACTGCAGTACACGGTTGACTAGAAACTTTTACACGCCTGTCTTTGTGCTCTTCGTTTAATGGCCCTGTAGACAGATTGTGTCGGATTTACAATAAAGTGATAAAAAATGACTCAGTGGAGAATGCTTGTTAAATATTACTCTTATTACTAATTTCTTCTGCTTTCTTATATTCCTACCTAATACGATATAAACAGTCTAATTAAAAGTAATTTCGGCCGATATACGTATTGTCACGCGACTGCCGTAAGCTATTTCTCGTACAGTAGACTCACCATGAACCGGCCGTAGTGTCGCGCCACCCGGGCGTTGTGCTTGGCGAGGACGTGCGGCGGGTCGCCGTGGAAGCGGAAGCGTCGCGCCGCGCCGACGACGGCGTCGTCGAGCGGCCTCACGTCGTGGCGCCGCAGGGTACTGGCGGCTCCCCCGGCGAAGGCCACCTCCAGCGCCGCCTGTGCGCCCGCGCCGAGCGACCCCGCCGTCGGCTGCTTCCGCCTGCGGAAATGGCTTCGCGTGAATTCTCGCGTCGGTCGGCCGGCTCCGAGTCCCGGGCGACGGATACGTACGGGAAGGGCGCGTGCGGCGGAGGCGGGGCTCGCGGCGCGGCGAGTCCGGCGGGCAGCGGGCGGTCGGGCGACGCGTGAGCCACCTGGCCCCGCGCCGATACGGCGACGCCCTGCGGGTTGGCCCACAGCACGGGATGCGCCGCCTCGGCGAAGCGGTGCCGGTAGAGGCTGCAGTCGCGGCTCGTCGACAGGAACACGTCGGGCGAGGCCACCCAGGCGATGGCCGTGGTGACGTCGCGGTGCTCGGCGAACGTGGCCAGCGGCACGTGCGGCCGCCGCACGTCCCACACGTGCACGGCGCAGTCCAGCACCAGCGCGCACGATGCCACCTGGTACCTGTCGACGAGGCCTATTAGCGAATTCGGGCGAAGAGACCGGAAGGATTAGGCCGTCCACTCACTTTTTCTGCGGTCTCCACTTGACGTGTCCGACGGAGGCTATCGTGTGTATGGTGTGCTCCAAATTAGGTTTCGCGTGGATGTCCCAAACCTTCAGAAAATTTCATTTTTTATTTCACAATGAATAATTAGTATGAGTTAGTAGTATCTAGATGTAAGTACACCTAATTTGTAGAAACCGCGTGTTTGTTTGAACTAAACATTTGATACAAAATCTTGTCTGCCGCTGCTTAGTTTCAAAAACGATAACATCCTTCGGATTAAAAAAAAGTCCAGTACAGAACGATTGTATCTACTGCACAGTAGAGCCCCTTACCTTGATAGTCTTGTCGCGGGAGGCCGTAGCGAGCCAAGGCACGTCGGGGTGCCAGTCGCAGGCGAAGGCGGGCCCCGAGTGGGCCGTGAATTGGTGCAGAGGCCGTTCGTGTCGCCGAGAGTCCCAGAGCTGAACGGTGCCATTTTCCGACACCGCGGCTAAAACGTGCGCCGTATGCGGGCTGAACTGCACGTCGCGAATCGACTCTGTGTTACTGGGCAGAACTTATATGGGTTAGGTCTTAGTGATGGAAAATATAAGCTGTTCCTCGACATAGTTCAAGTAGGATTAAAAATATACAATTACGCTTCTGTCAAATATACAAATAAGCATGAGGTTGGCGTAGGTATAAAATAGTTACTTAAAAGTTTTAATAAAATAATACCTTATAAATGTTCGAGCTACCTCCTTCATCCGAAGATCAAAACATTTCATCATCCCATCTTGGGACCCAGATATAAGCAGAGATGGTTCAGTTAGGTGAAAACTAACCTAAAAACCATTATGATAATGAGAAACTCAATATTAATGGAAAATTATTTTTAAGGCTGGTAGAAGCCTATTTTTTTCGAAAACCCAAGCCCAAAATTAAGCACCTTATTAACAGTTCTCTTGTGATCTGAGAATACGTGTTCTTGTTTAGACCTCCCAGAGCGACCCAGGTTCCACACCACCACTGCCCCATTTGTTGCTGCCGTTGCAAGAGTGTTTTCTAAAAATTTGTGAAAGATGGCTTAGAGATTTACTACCTCTGTCAAATCAGTGCTATATTTTTGTAACAACCCTACCTTCAAGCGTACTCCAAGCAACATCAATGGAAGAAAAATTTAGATTTAAATTTTTTCCAACTCTCAAGTTACACACTTCAGAGAATTCATCTTCACCTATAGAAAATACTTTAAACACTGGAATAAGAACGGTATATATTAAATAAAGTATAAAACTGCTATAAGGTATCAAAAACAATTTTATTTAATCATCTGTTTATCACCATTGCGTCCAGCGATCACGACTTGGGTGCAATCTTTATTTAAAGCCAAAGCGTTGGCCGGCCCTTCTTGAGAAACACAAATCGTATTAGATGGTATCATGATAACGATTCACAATTATTAGGAAACAATTCATAGTTAACACTTAGAATCTTCACTTTCATCTTTGTTAGCTCTGGATTACTCCTTTTCTTGTTATACTAGGAAGTACTTCATTTTACAATTTATTTACAAAACAGGGTTACTTATATTATTACAATAACATAATATTTACAAATTCATAAGTTACAACACATGATTTCACCAAAGAGTAAATACTCAATCAATGTAAAATTATATACAATCTATTCTGTGGAGTCTTTGTACAGTATTGTGAGCCTTTCACCCAACGAAAGCCTAAATAGCTAAAGACGGACGATTCTTTTTATATTAATTTATTACGTGAATATTCAATATTGGCCCCAGTACTATTAAGGATGATCCAACAATTTAAGTTTATAATAAATATGAATATTAAATTAATTTTCTACTTAATAATACAATATGTATTTTCCACGATTTATTTGGTTTTAGTACTAGGGCTGAACTAAAGAGGGCGTAACACAAAATTTGCCTTTAAGTTTTAATCAAGAGTGGTCAGTGGTCCCTATTCCCTACCATATTACGTTATTACATATTATTCCCTTTAAATTTAACCCTATTGTGTATTTGTTTATAATATTATGCTCTTTGAAATTTGCTGCTGTCAAGTGCCTATAAACTATTTATTTTATCATCTTGATCATATTATAACACTTATCACGAGAGTATTTTTTTTGTAAATAGAGTTTGTCCTTGTCTCGTTAGCCTAGTCACTCGTCACTTCTAGAGGATTTTTTTATATTTTCACTATCAGTTACACAATTTATTAAGGTGGTTAAGAAAGCGTATACAAGAACAATCATGGGAAAAAAGATTGAAAGACAGTAGCCCGTATTATTTTTAAATTGAATAATGGATGGTGGTGACCGAATATTAGTTGCGGCGGGCCTCACGGCGGCGGTTGTTGTTGGTGCATTCGTGCTGTGGGGTCCTGGTGGCGCCCCTAAAGTCCGCAAACGTAGAGGACAGATAGCTGGCTTACAAAATCTCGGCCGGACATGTTTTCTAAATACTTTGCTCCAGGCGCTTGCGGCGTGCCCTAGTTTTATAGAGTGGTTGAAGAAATACGCGAAAGCTGATGGACATAATAGCATGATTACAACTCTGTATACTGTAATAGAAGGTATGAAACATAGAGTACAATTTTGTTCACATTCGCTCCAGATTCACAAGTAGCTATTTAATTGTGAAGCCAAAAAAAATAATTATTTATTTAAAAAAACACATACAGATACTAACAGAGAACGCACAACATACAAAACACAATACATGCATGACATGACTAGTGTACACAACATTTAAAAAAAGGGAAAAGAAAAATGCAATAAAAATAAATGACAATAATCTAGATTAGGAAATAATAATAATAAAGCCTTTATTTCGTTCCATACCATTTACATTACATGCTAATACAACTAAACTAAAAATAAAAAAATAAATTTTTTTTTGTGTTAATGTGGTTAGTAATACATAAGATTAGGAAATACAAATATTAAATCAAATCTGCAATTAAATAAAAGTAATCATTAATATAATGATCCATAGTTGTCAATGGCACTCATGAGTCAGCTCGAGGGACACCAGTGTGTCCCCTTGGTGTCCTACAAGCTTTGCGAGCAGCGGGTTGGGTTGTGCCAGCCGATCAGCAAGATGCCCATGAGCTGCTGCATGTACTGCTCACCTGTATTGAGGAGGAAACTGCTGCTATGGCAAAAAAGGTATTTTACTTATGTGTCGTATTAGCATTTAGATGAATGCTATTAAAAATGTTTTCTTCTCATAAACAAAAGAAGAGTTGAAATGTATTTATGTATGTATAAAATAATAAGTCCATCCGCAGCCTGGATGTCTATCAGACGCCTTAGGACTGGGCGGCGGAAAGGCCTGGTCCGCCCTGGCGTCTCCCGCGTCTCCGCCCTCGGGCTCCTTCGGCCCGCGACCCGCAAGACCGGCCTCCGCCGCTCCGGCTACCGAACCGGACTCGACCGATCCAGGTACCACTGCGTCGGTACGCGACGAGCGCGTAATAGGCGGAAAGCAAAACGGTCTGGCTAAACGTCCGCATTGATTTAAGACGAGCCCGAGACGGAGCCTCCACCTCTGCGCAAGGGCGTGTCGCGGTCCTTCTGTCAGCTGAGCGGCCTGGGCCGCCGCTGGGCCTGCGCGCCTTCTCGGCCTGCGCCAGCGCCGCCCTTCAACGGCACGCTCGCGTCGCGCACTCACTGCACCGTGTGCTCCACGAAGGTACTGCACTCTACCCGTTACGGATCTCGCCTCTACTAGATCGAGACTCTAGAACGGAGCGTGATATAAGTGTTCCTTGCAGAGTCCAATTCGCTACGACAAGTTCGACAGCGTGTCGCTATCTATGAGCGACGCCGGCACCGGTCCGGCCGGGAGCTACGCCTTGGCCGGTATGCTATGAGCTAAGCCATCTCTACGTATATTAGAGATATTTGAACGGTCGATGTCGTATTTCCATTCGAAAGATCTTCGATAAAATTAATGGGAATGTTGACGGTATTCATTTTTTAAATATTATATATTTATGCTGTTAATTTGTCGGGCATCCTGATGGACAGATAAACTATGTCTTTTTTTGTAACGCCCGTACAACTGCGCGTGTCGACAGGCCTGCTGCGCGCCTTCACATCCCCGGAGATGGTGAGCGGACTGAGATGCGGGCGCTGCGCCCCCCGGGCCGACGGCGCCGCGGACCAGACTACCAAACACATCCGCACGCTCAGCTTCGGCAAGGTGCGTCGGGTCCACTCGATTCTGATATAGATTTATTAATGACAGAGAGTCGTGTGCGCTACAATGTTTGAAATGTGGTGTCAGCTGCCGGCGTGCCTGTGCCTGCACATCTCGAGGGTGGAGTGGGGCGTCGGCGGCCTCAGCAAGAGGGGCGAGTTCGTCGCCTTCCCCGAGACGCTCAGCCTAGCTCCCTTCACGGCGACAACTCAGGTGCGTTATTGCTGCCGTACCCCGACACTGAGGTGATGACGTGAAATCCGAACGCCCACTTTTAGAATCGAGGAGTGGATATATCGATGGTACTGAGCGAGGCGCGTCTGCGCAGCGGGTTGTCGGCGCTGAAGACGGCGGGGGTGGAAGCGTCTGCGGGGGCGGAGCGCGCCCTGTACCGGCTGACGGCGGTCGTCGTGCACGTGGGCGGACCGAGGTCCGGCCACTTCGCTACGTATCGCCGCGGGAACGGCTTCGAGAGCAAACGGTGACCTTGCATTTTATCTTGTTTCCTTGGATTATGCGCTTAGTAAACGCTGACAAAAATGTATGAGACTGATATCGTCAAGGTGGTGGTACACGTCGGACACGTTGGTGCACGAGGTGTCCCTGCAGGAGGTACTGCGGTGCTCCGCCTATCTGCTCTTCTACGAGAGGGCGGACCCGCCCCTCAACACTCACTTCTAGCTCTCCGGTAGATGTGTTGTTATAATGAAGTTGTGTTGGAAAGGTAAAATATTAACTGGCCAATATTATGGTATTGTAAAAGTTTTTATATACCTTTGTTATTTGTGAAATAGAGTTTTAGATGGGTTACAATTTCTGCTCTATCCAGTTGTGCCATTGCGTTTATTTTTTAAATGTGAGGCTTGTGACTTTGAATGAACAATGATTAAAATTTCCACTAACGTGGCTCATGAAATTTAACTTGGCATCTTAATATGTTATAGGAATAACTTTAAGAATGAATAGGTAGGTAATCAATGCTCGATACATATTTGTAAAGTCCTTTCTCTGAATGTTTTGTCACTGCAAGCTTGTGGAGGGTAGAGCTCAGCAATTACTGTTGAGGAATATCATGTACTTAAACTTTGCATTTATTGTGCATTTTAGCACACAAATTCTAAGATATTGTTATCACCTCTATTTTACTACACCTTTGATACTTAATGTTTCCTTGAATTTTAAATACATTTTTAATAATGACAAAAGAAGCCCTGTATCAGTCTTAGATAATAGACAAACAATTAATGACATTATTTAATCCTGTTTTTTTCCCTTTTGTGTGCAAAGTGGTAACACTATATTATTATACATATGACAAAGCTTAAATCTTAGTTTCTGTTTAATTAGAATCTTATATTCTAAGAGTGAGTCTGGAACATCCACATTCAGAACTCGGGTACTGGGCAGTACCCAGTAATGTAACTGAGATGTTGAAATAATGGCTATGAATATAATCATAAAAAGGAGCTGAGATGCAATCAGGATTTTTTTGTAAATATAGGTGAATATGTTTTATAATATGTAATAAATGAAAATTTCAATGTCAATTTTCTTAATGAATCAATTGACTTATCAAAAAGTGCAGCTTTCATTGTATAGCCTCTCATCATTGACTGAATTAAATTTTGTTCTTAATATTATTCCATTGGTAATACATATATTAAATATATTAGAGTGATATAATTAAATAAATTCCATTAATATTCATAACAATAGTTACCCAAATTACCTTTATTGTTTAGAAAATGTGGCCATAAAATTAAAAACAATTATTTTCATTTTTCTCATCCCTTAAACCAAGTATAAAAAATTTCAACATGTAAACTTACTTACCATTATTTAATTTGCTGAAATAACATTAACCATATTATATATCCTAGCAATAGAGATTAAACTATTAAAGGAGCATTGTGAATTCCCATGCATTGGTTGCACAATCTTCTGATAGCAAATTTTTAATACTAAAACTAACAAAACTTCCACCAGGAAATAAATAAATTTACAAAAAATTATGTGTATCTAATTTAAATATCTTTTCACACAATAATAATGCTGAAGGGTTTGAGAAACTAATTGGACTGCCATGGCTTTGATGTAATCAACTTGCATGAAGTCTTGAACTAAAGGGAAATCCAGACAGATCTTATTAAATTACTTACATATAATGACTGAAGAACTGACTGTGTCTATGTTTGAGCACAGCTAATCACATAGCCCATACTTCTCATATATAATTTACATTCTACAAATATAATTTTAATATATATTTGTCAACACTATTGATGTTGTGAAATGAACTATCTATATATAAATATTGTCTAAATTAAAAATATTTTGTTTGCAAAATATTGTGTAAATTCTAAGGCCACCATATTTTTATTTTGGAATTGGAAGCCAGCTAGATGATACTTCAGCTGGTCAATTTGGCCTCATCTATGTATTATATTAATTCCTAAAATTAACTATAAAATTATGAAATTGTTTTGTGCATAAAAGATTATAATTTTTAAGCCTTAATTATTTTAAACAATTACAGCAAATATTTGGTACTTTAATCAAACTAAGAAGCTTTTGAAAAGAAATTTATTTTTGAGTCTGATCAACAGAAATATTAAATTGAAATTAACATAGTCTAGGTTGAAACAATGCTTATGTGCTATGACATGCTGTCAATCAGGGATGCTCTCATAGTGGATGTAATTGCACTAGGTTTAGCATCATTAAGTTTGAAAACACTCTCAATAACTGATATTTCTGTTGAAGTTGTATCCATACCACAGAATGCACTCCAGTCATTAACTACCAACCCTGCACCCACCACATCACTACCTCTGTTCACTGTTCCTGCAACTAATGGTACTTGAAGCAATGAGGATAATTCATCCTGATCTTGAATTGTAGTTTTAGGGTGAAGTAAACCTCCTCTATTACTAAGTGCTGTATAGGACCCAACTAACACATTACCAGCTACAGTTTGTCGGAAAACTTCAACATTTAATGTGTCAGCAAGAATTTCTTCTGTGTCTTTGTCTAAATCTGGATGAACTAAAGCAACATAGTCGTTGCAAGCGATGACGTTACCGAGTGCACTTAATCGTTCTTCGACTCGCTGTACTTTGACGTTATCTGGTAAACTGTTACGGATGTGCTGCAGCTCTGTGTCTGTCGTGGACGATGGTAAAAGTAACCCATTCTTGTTAGCGACGGTCATGCGGCCAATGATGCGACAGCCTGCGACACTAGCGTGTACCACGGGTATAGTGTCTGATAATTCTGCTTCAAACACACTGTAGAAATTCTCTGAGCCTCCGATAGCTACAAGACAGTAAGAATTTGTAAGTTTGCTAAAGACACCAACTTCATTGTTGTTTTCGAATTGCACGCGGACCGCCATGGCTGTTGCTCAAGATCTTGATAATTGTTTTGAAATATTTCACAAGATAGTTTATATACTTTGAATCATTAATTCACGTGGAGGGGTAAACCGTAAACCACGATGAATAAAAAAACCACAGACTCAAAACCACTTAAAACTTGGTTAGTGACATTCACACTGTCAAAATGATTAGTGTCAAATTAAAAAACCCGTATAATAATGCAGAATACGAATAATTTTATAACAGACTTAGAGAGAAAAGTGGAAACCATTAAAATTAAAACATAAACATAGATGTTCCTCTGTAGTCCTATCCCTTTCTTTATATTTATTTTCCACATGTACAACATGATCAGTCATTTTCTTCCACTCTTCTGCTGTTACATTAATTTATCCCTAATGAGAAAGGCAAAGGACTTTAGTCCATACAGTAAGAATAACTCGGAAAAACACGGTTTAATCCTTTTTGAAGTTATACTTCTTTAGGCGCGTTATGAAAAATTTATGAGAGTGAAATTTTACAATGCGCGCGCACCCGTGACACAAAATTAGGAGTGTGATTATAGCGTGCGCGAGCGAGATAGGATTAAGACAAACTACAAGTAAAAAGAAATAGAATATGCGTGAAGTTCGTATGCCAACAATTTTGCATGACCATAATGACATTTGTCATTTACCTTTTAAACAAATAAAGGAGTTTTAATTATTTTTTCAAAGAAATTTAGCGATGCTTGTTGAATTATAATCAGAAGTGATTTAAATTGAATATTTAAACCAATACTAATTAATATTTGTGAAAAAACTGTGCTCATCAACCTTCCTAAGTGCTTCAATACAATTGAGGTTAAATATCCGTATGTATTATTATTATTATCGAGTAATGTTTTGATTAAAAAAAACATTGTAATCAAAACATGTAATTTTTCTGATTTTATCTAGCAAATATAAGGAAAAGAGACAAAAAACAATTGATGAATCAGTGTAACTGCACTAAATTGAATACAAAAAGAGTTTTCATCTTATCGCTGTGAAACATCAAAAACTGGAGGTGGAACAAAGCCAAACTATTTTTAATATTGCCAAAGAAGTATAACTTCTTACGCGCGTACATAAGTACACGGACCCTTTTTTTTTATCTATTAACATGACCAAGGTGCAGCCTTAAGGGAGGAGGACATCCGACCAGTGACCAGTCTAACCACTGACTGGCTGGGCCCAAAATTTCAGAAGTTGAGGTCGAGAGTAGTATTTATCCTTAGCAGTGAGAAGAACTTTGTTAGCGCGATTCAGACGTATGATGTCATTGCAGTGTTTGTAGGTGTCGCTACAGTACTGTCATTTGCTGTAGATCATAGATATTGGATGCTAAAAGAAGGAGTGATATACGTCTTGGCGTTATACTTTCCGGTATTCAGAAGTTTATAGGTGTTCTTCGCTGGGTCACTAATAAAGAAAATAAGGTACTGCTCTACCTCCGACTTAAAGGGAAACCTCCCTAACCTAAACCACTCTAACCAGAGATGTAATTGGCATCGTATGAAATTAGTTACTTATCAAGTAATTAATTAGGCGAATATTAAAAAAATGGTGCGTGTACTTATGTACGCGCGTAAGAAGTTATAGTTCTTTGGCTTTCTTGATTTTTTTTAAATATTAAATAATTAATAATAAATATTTAGCGTTAATAATTTAACAATATTTAGTATATTATTCAATTATAAATTAATATTAATAATAATAATTATTTATTATTTTATAATATTATTAATTCAATTTAATAACTAGGTATTGAAACGTACCTACATAACCTTTTAACTAAGTAACAATAGGTCTTTGAGAAAAATTTCTTTGAAAAAATAATTAACCCCTTTATTTGTTTAAAAGGTACTACAAATGTCATTATGGTCATTCAAAAATCTTGGCATAGCTGCTAACGTCACGCATATTCTATTTCTGTTTACTTGTAGATTGTCTTATTCCCATCTCGCTCGCGCACGCTCGGCGCCCATACTGATAATTTTGTGTCACGGTGCGCGCGCATCGTTAAGACAGTTGAATTACTAAAAAAATGAACTAGACTACAGTGTAAAATGTTACTTCTGTCTCATTCAGGTAAATTGCCACTGTAAAATTGTAAAATATACTACTTCACATTGTAACTTATTATAATAGGTGAGCCCAAGAGGGCATTCACTTCTAGAATAAGTCGAGAGCAAAATAAAAACGTGTGGCACTCGGGCAGTCCCGCGGTAAAGCTATAGCATAGCATTTTTTATCAACTTATGCAGTTATAATTATTTATTTATTTTTTATTCGTGCAGTATTTGTTTTTCTTTGATATTAATTCAAGTTTTTTCTTTGACATTATTTCAATCTATAACTCTACCAGACTCAGACTAAAACGCCTATATAGTCTGTCTCACTCTAACGCGTACCGGCTGTACCGGCCCCACTCACGCTACGTCACCGATCTCGTCAGAGAGATGGGAATGCGCAGTTTGCGTTATATCCCACTCTAACGCGTAAGGTTTTTTCGTTACGGAATATCTTGATTCGGCGCCGCGCGTGGGTTGGTTGGGTGTTGGGGTCCGCGGAAATGCTTAATGTAACTTATTAAGCGCAACCTTCTAATTGGGTCTGCACCTATTGCTTATAATTCAAAGTATGTTTTAGTAAGGTAAGGTGCAAATGGTATATTTTACATAAACAAATAATCCTTCCAGTGGTCAGTCAGAAGACTGACAACTTGGACGCGACCAATTCAAGGCACATGAACGTGTTGTTGTGATGACTGATGGTATTTTAGCGAGGAAACGTTCTATGGAGACTGCGAGAGAATGAGAGATAGTGGCGCGAAGTAGCAAATACAGTGTATATCTACTGTTTATTACGAAAAACTCTCAATAACATAAAAATTGTTACATTTGTTTGGATTAACACAAATCTCCTACGTTATTTCACTCTTTATAACGCAACAGCGTTCTCTATAACGTAGAAATATTTTCATATTTAGATGGTACTATAAGTGCCATCTCTTTGCGAAGGTTGGCGATCCAAAATTAAAATAGCCATTATTTTAATTTTGGATGCCGCGCTTCTAAACAATGACTTGGTGCTTTGACCAAACCATTGGGCGTGTTCGGCCGAAGTAAGTACTTACTAAATTTAGTAAGTCACTTACTACGCTTACAAAATTTTCGGCCGGGACACAAAATAAGTGCTAACGCAGTAAGTATGGCTTAATATACGACGCCATTTTGCTTATTGTTGATGTAAACAAAACGGACAATAAAATATCCAATAAAATATTTCTCATAAAATTATCCATTTGAAACTATTCACAGGTATTAAATTATATTCCTAAATTTAGTACTGTCAATTATATTCAGTCTATGAGGTTATGTACGGACTACGGGATATGACATAAACCGGTGTTTTGTGTTATGTTAATAAGCCAGTAAGTCTGTCCTGGCCGAAAAGCGCTACAGTCAGCTTGTAAGACTTTAATTTTTTTATGCTTACTGGCTTACTAAGTTTAGTAAGTACTTACTTCGGCCGAACACGCCCATTGTCTTAAGTTTTTCAACCAGGACGTGCGTCTGCGGCCAGGTCTCCTTCTACCTGCCATATTTAGACATCAACAACATACTTAAGTGTAATTGTTTTATAATCAGCCTACAAAACGAAACTTCTGAGGTGCCGAAATTTCTAAGGAAGACACCTGAGGTCATGAACAGCCGTCTTGCATTTGTTAATTGCATTAACACGTGTGCCATTATTCTTAGATAACATTGCATGTAGGAAATTTTGGTTTCAGTTACTAAACGCACCACTGTCACCTATCGTCTATTATCAGTCGTAAACAAACTTTGAAACTGTCAATATGGCCAGTTATGTGTTTAGGATAATTTACCTATTAAAGTAATAAAATTAGAAATTATTCTAATTAGTTAAATTTGTTTATTTTTCTATATCGAAAGCAAATGCTCGGTCCCTTGAAATTTGTTATAAGACTTGTACTTACTGTACACTGTACATTGTTCTCAGCGGTTGCTTGTACAACACTTTACTAATGATTGTAGCTACTTTGGCTCTGCGTGTAACATGCCCTATTCTATCATTTTTTTTTAAATTTAGTTGTTTGACTTTATGTACTGGGTTCAGGTACGGTGGGAGTACTTCACAAGGTGCAAGGTTGCCCCCTTATGACATTCTATTAGGTTCCAATAGATTAGTTAGACCGCTTCAAATTATATAAAGTTTATTAGTAGACAACTTATAAAAGAAATAAAACTGTTTTATTTAATATTTGTTATTCCTCAATTATACAGGTTTAAGAGATTTTCTCTTTTTCTTCTTGATATTATTCGTTTTTCCCATGTCGCTCTTTTTCAACCCCTTTTTAGGGCTTTTGTTATTTTTACTTAGCCTTCTAAATTTCTCGTTCTTGCTATTTTTGACTAAATCCGTTTCACCCGCATTTTTTGTGTCTTCCACGTGTTTCTCAAGTTTTCGTCTGGAAAATATGTAAGGAGAAATTTAGTTTTCAATAAAATAAAAATGATCAAATAAATAGGCATTAACAGAGTCGAGCAATAAGGATATACTGAAGAATGACAAAAGGCGCGGCTTTAATAATAAATAAAATTTGGTTCCCACTTGTTAGGTTTTTCCAAGACAGTGGATATTTTGTCTCTGTGCGGAGCTTTCTTAAGCAACCGTTTGCGACTGTTGGAATCCTGTTTGATCGACAACATGTACTCGGGCACCTCGCACCCCGACTGCTTCATTACCGATGCGATGCTGCAAAGATGAGATAAATTCAAAACGAGTAATTTGTATCATTTCCAAGTTATCGTAAGGCCTTGGACCTGGTTTGGTCTAAGAAATCGTACCTCCTCAAGTTGACGACGTCGTCCCGAGTGAAGAAGGTGACGGCGCGACCCTTTTGTCCGGCCCGACCGGCTCGGCCCACTCTGAGTCATCGAGGATTATTACAAAAACACGTTATATAATAGTGACGCTATGTAATTGTAACATTTAACCAAAGCTCCTGTTTACCGGTGTATGTAAGCTATGGCCGAGGGCGGGAAGTCGTAGTTCACGACGAGGTTGACTCCGCGGAAATCGATCCCTCGTCCCATCAGTTCGGTACAGATCAGCACCCAGATGCGACCCACGCGGAAACTACGCACGACTCTGTCACGCTGCGGAATTAAAGACTTTAATTTCGAACGATCAACGACAAAATGCAATTATCGCCGAGTGAAGCTATCGAAGCCCCCGAAGGTCACCTGCGCCTGCGTGCGATCGGCGTGGATGACGTCGACATTGATGCCGTCGTACAGCAGCTCCTTGAACAGCTGTTTGGCCCGCTCCTTGCTCTGCACGAACACTGCCGACGCAAACAGAAAAGGTCTTTAAAGGTTTCCGAAGGTTCAGGCGCAAATAACAGTGTTGGCCCGTGTCGGTTGGCCGCAGACGAACCTAAGACGGGTGGCTTCAACCCCTTCTGAACAAGTTGGCGGAACGCGATCAGTTTCCCGCTCTCGTTGCCGCAAAACAGCAACTCTTGCTGCACCGTAGTCGCCGCGGCGTTTCTGCAACATGCATCAAATTATGTCTCCCTTCTCGTGCGTCACTCGCACGTTTCGTTCGTATTGGCCACCTGTGCCCGACGGTGAGGACGATGAGTCCCCGCAGATGCCGGCGAGCCCACTTGGCGAGGGAGGGGGTGTGAGTGGCACTGAACAAGGCGATACGGCGCTGGACGTCCAGCGAAGCCAGCACCACGCCCAGCTGCTGCCGGAATGTGTCCACCTCTTCCTCGGAACCCTCGAACATCTTATCAGCCTCGTCTATTATCAGCCATTGCACTCTGCGATCGGTTTAATTGCACATTTTACTTAAATTCACCTTTGTGCCAGACATCCATATGTATGAAAGGTGTGGCTAATGTCAAATGTTCTCATTCAAATGTCATTTACAAAAAAAGGTACTCACTTTTGTAAAGAAATATTCACATCTTCTCGATTCAACAGATAGCATAAGCGGTTTGGAGTACTTATTATGAGATCTGAAATAAAACAAATAGTTTGGTGTTGAGCCAGTAATAATAAATGTCCATTAACATTTCACTTCAACTGACCACTCTTCCTAATGGTAGATTCCCTCTCCTTCACCTTGCTACTTTTGACACTTTTAATGACACTGCATCGTAGTTGCGTAGATACAGACAGCCTTAAGGCCTCTCTATAGATCTGATGGGCCAGCTCCCGTGTGGGGCATAGGACTAGGGCCCGAGGACCGCCGGCAGGAGTCCCCAGACAGTGCAGCAGGGGAACAAGGAATGCAGCAGTTTTACCTGAACCTGTAGGTGCTGTGGCCACTATTTGACGACCCTTAATAAACATATGATTACTGAGAATATTGTCGATAGCATTAAAAAGTGTAACATGGATGATTACATTAAAACTCATTATTATTAATTCTGTGTGGTTAAATTTAAATTGTATGTACCTCCAACAACGCTGGTAATGCCTGCCTTTGTATGGGAGTAGGTTCCTCATACCCGCACTTCTTGATTGTGCCTACCATATCCACAGATACATTATACCTAGTTACTAAATCATCAAAGTCTTTAATGGCACTGGTTATATGACGTCCAACAGCTTTGATACCATATTCATTGCGGAATCGATTTTCCTAAAAAAATATAAGTACCTTCGTCTAATTATTAGTTGCTGTAATATATATTGAAATTTTATTAAAATAATAAAATATATAATTGTTAGTTTAATTAATGTACCTCTTCCAGATTTATTTTTTTCTTTAACTCTTCTGGACTAAGTTTAGTCTTCTTTTCTTTCTTTTGCTTTGATTTTTTGCTAGCTGTAACTCCCTCTAAGAGTTGCAAATCCTCATCTGAGTTATTTTCTTCCTCTTTACTTGATTCTCCTGACTTCACATCTAATTTTAAAGATTTTTGTTGTAAGATACTATTAAGTTATTACAAATTAAGAGACAAATTTTATAATAACTATGCTGATAAAAATTTAGAAAAATATCCATGCGTTTGTGTATTCTATATTGCGATTAGTCTAAAAGAGTGTTTTGGTCTAAGATAAATTACATTCTCTTTTAAAGCATAAGAAATACCAGAAAATACCTTGAAAATCACCATTATCTTCAATGTTAGATATTTCGGATTCAGAGTCATGATCGGATAACTCTTCCTTCTTTACATCTATTTCTTTTTTTAGAATCTGTTTTACACTTTGATCCTGAAAGTTATAAATTATCTCTGAACGTTAGCTATGTTCATAGAATGCAAATTATGAGAAGAGGTTATATTTATACTTACTGCATTACTTAAGCCCAAAACCCGCTGCTTAAATGTTAGTCCCTTTGTTAGTTTTTTAAATATATCATAGGCATCCATTGTAATTGAATAGTCACAAGTCCCAACTCAATTTTTAACTCTTAATTATTATTAAATGTATATTTTATTGTTTTTGTACAGAGCTGGAGCATGTTTACTGTTTAGATTTTAGTGCAGTGTTGCCAACTCGGATTTTGAAAATTACGTAGGTCAGATTAGAAAATTACGTAGATTTAGCAAAAATTGTATAGGAAAAGTTCGCAGATCTACGTACTTTTTTTTATGAGTGAAATGAAGAGGGTAGGGTTGGTAAAACGGAATAAAAAGAGTGTTATTTTTTTTAAATAGAAATAAAAAAAAAATATTCATTATTATTTTCTGGTAAATTAAATTTGTACATGTTTTTATTAAAAAGTTTAATATGATCTTGCGTTGGCCCAGGATTACTTTTCAGATCACTTTTTGTTAAAAGTAACCCTGTGAGGGTTTCAGTAGACTGATGTTAGGGTAAAAAGTAACCCTGTAAGGGTTTCAGTAGACTGAGGTCCGTTTCTGATGTTAGTTTTCATCAAGTTTATTAAAGAAAAACGTCGTTCAACATTTGCGCTACTATGAGGTAATGTTAATAACTTTTGTGTAAATTGGGCTAGGAGGGGAAACTGCTGAGTTGCATCTCCTTTTTTTATTTTGGCAATATGACGCCAAAACTCATCTGCTTTGAATATCTGATCCTCTTGAAATGGTAGATTTGTGTTTCTTAAAGTTCTCCATTCCCGGTCTGATTGTTTTTAACTTTTTTTTTCGAAAGTAATAGATATTATGCCTATTCAGCCTAATGAATTTGGATATTGTGCAAAATTTTAAATTTGATTAAAAATACGTAGATTCTGTGACGGAAGGTTTTCAGAAAAGGCCTAAAATACGTAGATCTAAGTAAAAAGACGTAGAGTTGGCAACGCGATCCGTATTCCGTGAGTGTCGTCAACATAGATAATATTAATAGATATTTTTAATATTTCTAAAACGTAAATAATTACCTCTGGCGACTGGAGCATGATATATTGAAATGTGTCTAATGTCAATGTCATATGTAAGTGTATGGTAATGATTTCTTAAGTATGCAATTAAATAAAATGAAAATTGATTTACATTATTTGCATACCTTATTTCAACCGCTATATTAGTCCAAGGTCCAAGAAAATAGAGGACTGGATGAACCTAAAAGAACTTGTGTTACCCTAGATTCGTTACAAACAATGGCTGCCTAAGGTTGTCTAATCTTAAATCCCTATCAGAGTTTAATGCAATTTCTCTTAAATTAATATAAATATATTAGTTTTTAAAATATATATATAATTATATATCAATATATTTATATAAATTTTCTTAAAAATACTATTGTATTTTATGTAATAATAGCAACCTAATTTCCTTTTAAGTATACGAACAACACACTTAATTTGATGGAATTTAAAAGACTTAAAAGCATCATGCATCAGAGTTTGATAAGGTCAGTACTCACATACGGTATTACTCGATAGTTTTACTCGAAGTCAAGTAAAAATCAACGTGTGGACCGCAAAACTTACAGCTCGAAGGCTGGCATCGAGCCGGCTCGATAGAATTAAATGAAAGTAATTTCCTTCGAACCTACTCGAAGCGAGCCGTCAATCTTGACTCGAACGTGTGTACGTGACTGCGAGTGGCGCGAGGCGAGCGTCAGTCTGGTATTGTTTATCGTGATTGAAACACGTGTTTTTAAGAGAAATGGATTTTTAAGTAAATTCCAAAAGCGCTATAGAAGACTTTATTAACACATATAGACAGTGTGTGAGTGTTTATGGAATGTCAATTCCAACGATTACTCCCACAAAAATAAGAGAAATGAATGTTATGAAAAATTACTAGCTGTGCTTCAACGTTTTTTCTTTTCATTTTCTTTGATTTTCTTATAAAGCACTGTGAGACTTGCTAAATACAGCTACCGTCTCCTTTATTGCACAGACATCCTTTGGCTCGAATGGTTCGGTGAATAGTGAACGGCGCGCCTCACTCGATAGATCAATGCTCAATGTGTGGACGAAAGCCCATGCCATGGGTTTTACTTGACAGTTTATTTTGATCGAGTAATACCGTCTGTGAGTACTGACCTATAAATCAGTTTGCAACTTCGAAGTAAAAAAGGAACGAGTGTAAGCTAGCTGTCTCATTCACCCACAGACATAGATCAATTACGTTTAGAGCCAAATCAGATCACATCAATTTTTGGTCAGCTTTAATTCTCATTTCAAGCTGTAGATAATAGTAAAATATAACAAAAAACAGCGCTGCGATGTTAATGACAGTGAGGTACTGTTTCGACAGCTTTCATAATTCACAAATATTTCTAAATCAGGCCATTCGGCCATCAGAATAAATATTTTTAGTAAATAATGATATAGCTATACTATATCAGAATGTCTCCGGACCAAAATAAAAATGCGTAAATTCGTTAATTTAAATTGTTTATTAGAGTCCAATGAACCGCCTATTTACCCTATCGATGCCATCCAGAATTTAAGACAAGTAGTCTTCGCACCACTATCACAATACAGACCAATCATTGGAGAAGCATTGCAAAGGACAAATTTTAAGTATCACAGGAGTTGCAGCCTTTCCAGTTTAATACGGGTATGCTTGAATCAGACCGACACACATTTTATTTTAATTAAATCTAGGATTATTATTAATACGCCACAACAAATAATTTAATTTAGGAATGTGAGGCTTCAGAAGGCCAGACATTGCTTATATTTTGGGGCAGTCGGAGGTCAGATAGTAGAGTCACAATCAATATGTCTGCATCGAGCTGCTCGTCATTGCAGGTACCGGTGAGTGACAATTTCAATGTGAGAAGTAGTTTTGCGGAAATAGATAATAATAGACTTATTATATTAAATATTCACAGCCGAGTGTGCACAGTCATAGTAATCAGCACGAAAAAGATTTGCGGTCCACGGCACAGCAGACTGATATTAGCTGCAGACTGTCACCCGGCGTGGCTTCTCCTGGTATTCAATTTTTCGTAGCTAAAATACTTTCTGTTAATTAATTATTGAACCTAATAACAGTACGTCGTTGTTTGTAGTTAACGTTATGGAATTACAAGAACAACAACTGTTGCGCGAACGTCTCGCCGGATCGCTGACGTACTCATCTCCCGCTTCCTCGCTGCTGCAGCCCCACCCGCGCTCCATGTCCATCCTGGGATCAGTTTGTGCTTTGCTACTAAAAAAACAGGTAGCTAAACAAAGGCATAGAAAATGACGACGACGTGGATGAATAGTCTGTGAAATAATATTCCATAAGTGTTAAGTTTACATATTGTTTATAATATTCCTCTAGTTCTTAACTGGGAGTATCATAGGGATAGATTTTACAGTGCAAGCTTTGTCTAGGGTTCGAGCGGCAAGGAAGCGATAAGCGTGTCCGGCAGCGTGCATTCGGAGCATATCTGCCGCATCTGCTTCGGAGGCGAGTCGGCCGAGCGGCTGGTGCGGCCGTGCTGCTGCCGCGGAACCATCGCTGCCGTTCACCGCTCCTGCCTTGAGCGCTGGTTGTTGCAGGCGGCCACATCCTATTGCGAGCTCTGTCGTCACCACTACGTCGTCACCAGAAGTCACAAGTTCGTATGGCTCATTTCTACGCCTCATATTGGTGGCCATCGTCACTCGAAATTGTCTTTAGTATTTAGAGCTAATCCAGACGGTCACTAATAAAGCGACATATCGACTTATAATAGGCCGTTCGACAGGTGGTCTTGGGCCCGGTCGGTGTGGGAGTGGGGCGTGTCGGGTCGCGGACGCGCCCTGGCAGCCGACGTGTGGCGTGGCGCGGCGTTGGGCGCGGCCTCTGTCCTGGGCACGGCGCGCGCGTTGCACGCTTGTGACGCCGCGCTGCAGGCCGGAGCCCGACGGGGCGGCGGCGCCGCACTCGCCGCCAACCTCTTCTCCTCGCTGCTCATCGGCGTCATTGGTGAGACGTAGCCGAAATTGTACTCCTAGAGTGTTTAAGTTTAAAATGGTACGATATCGATGGGCCTAAGTGTACGGTGTGGCAGGCGCGCTGAACGGGTTGCTGACGACGTGGATGCTGCTGAAGATCCAGGAACACCAGGCCTCGTGGCGCGCGTGGCGCGACAGTACCCTGCACGTGCACGTGTCCTTGGGCGAGCCGTCGGCGGCGCCCAGCGACAGCTCACTGGCCACCGTGGTAGGCACGGCCGACCGCGCCACCAACGTCGCGGACCCTTTTATGGTCAATTCTCCTTTCACTCTATCCGAGCTCTGACCTTCGTGTTTGCCGTCGACCACATCGTCTACTTGATCACCCTCCTACATCGTCCCTAATCGGAGTTAGACTCACCATGTCTCAATTTTTTATCCTATTCGTTGTGTTCACTTTATTCTTCTTATTTCTGCTGTCGGCTCTCCTCTTGCTCGGTGACGTATCTCAGGGATGTTGACAATTAAAATACTTTCCTAAAATTGTTAATCATTTAATTCTATAATATAAATTAATAACAATAATCAATTAAATAAAGGCGATTACATCAAGCGTTTATATTAATTATGTCAGATAAACAATAACGATTCGTTAATAATATAATAAGAATCGGTCGAGGCCGGGGATGCGGCTCTCTTATGTGGAGTAATAAGTTAAGAAGATCCCGGCACATGACCTTGACATCTCGAGTTAGACTTACGAACTAATTATTTAATATAAAAATCACATACATCTTGAGATTTATTACAATAAATAGGAGGCCTTTGTCGATATTCGGAAACGAAAATGCGTTAAGAAAGCTCGAGGCGTTTTCGTTTTCAAAAATCGCACAGCGAGACAGCGCAGCGCTGGGAGAAACGGCGAACTGGGCGGACACTGACGCTTAAACATTTAATCAACAATCTTTAGACAAATATAAAAGATTTGCTCTTTGGACTCCAAAAATCTTTTTAATTAAGTTACACACTCGATCCGCTTCGCTACCGTGGCGATTTTAAAAGAGAGAGACGGTGGAGACGGGCGGTCAGAGCTCGTCTTTGAAGCGACGGTGGATGGACTGCACGTACGTGAAGACGCACTTCCAGTCGGGCTTGCGCATCGATACCATGTCGTCCACGTCCAAGAGGGGATAGATGCCCGCCTTCTCACTGCACATAAATTTTGCACTTACAAAAATGCCTCTTTTTCATTATTTATCTCTACACCTAACTACAACACTTACAAAGCCTTTTACATACATTGTCAGCTGATTTTAATGAAATCTTATATTTTTATATACCTACAGTAAAAGCTCTCTATTCGCGCTTCCTTTATTCGCGTTTTCACTATTCGCGGATTAAAAAATGCAACCCAATTTCTTTATTAGCGGTAAAAAATTTCATACAAAATTCCAATAGGTGTTTAACGCAATATCATATAGATAATATGGAGTGTAATCCTGATATGAATGTTATGGAATGCTGGAAGAAATTTGACATAGCAAAATGCATCGTAAACATAAAGGAAACATTGGACGAACTGAAACCACACACATTGAAGTCATGCTGGAAAAAACTATGGCCTGCTCTGACTGCGGAAAATGACGAAGAATCTGTGCAAGTTCAAACTTTGACTGCAAACATAGCCGAAATTGCAAATGGAATAGGACGAGATGGGTCCGAACATACAGAATCAAGTGACATTCAAGAATTGCTTGAATCGCAAGCTGAAGACTTGACTGAAACCGACTTGGAGGAAATGTTAAATTCACAGCCCATTGAAGAAGAGGCTTCAACTAGCACTGAAAATGTGACATTTACTCTGAAAAATCTTAGTGAAGGCAAATGAGCTTTGCGATTTCTTTATGAACATTGATCCATCTATGGAACGAAGTCTTAATTTGCGACTGCTGAGTATCAGTCTGAATTGAAAAACTGCCAAGCAAGAGAAACCATTGCCTAAGCATGAGGATAATGATTACATAATCAAAATGTTCAATAACATCAATAAAATTGATTTTCTTATATATTTGTGTTTTTTATTATGGCACCTAGGAACGTATCCCCTATAAACCCATATAAATTACCATTCTGTATTCGCGGTTTTTGTATTCGCGGCATATTTATGGAACGTATACCCCGCGAATAAAGAGATTTTACTGTATATATATATATATATAACCACAAATTAAATTATGTTGCGGCTTACTTACACAATGGATTTCAATTGTTTATATTTATTTTTCATGAATTATGGCCAAAAAACATTTAGTAAAATTTTAATTTCTATTTGATGAATTAATGAAATAATTATAATCTGCAGGTCTACTTGGTCTAGGACTTCGTGTTAAACGCTATCGTAAAGTACGGTGGCCGAGTGTTTTAAAAGGTTTTTCGATAATTGGGTTAAATTGGGTTCTGTGATATGTAGCGGAGGACTGTTTTATAATATTCCTATAGTAAACAGACTCGATTGGATAGATTATCCTAGACAACCACTTTGAAAATTTAAACGATACTCGTTCCTAAACTATGATCACTACGTAGACGAAGGCGTCTAAAAATATTTTTAATATAATAGTGGCTCATTCGGCAGCGGTACTCACTCGGCAATTTTGAAGGCGAGCGTAAAGTTGTGGCGTCTCTTGTCGGGCGTGAGCTGCGCGTAATCGAAAGCGTCAGGAAGGAAGTGGTGCAGTAGAGCGCAGAAGGCCAGTCCGTCCGCCCAACTCGTCGAGAAGTTCTCCAGCTTCACATTCTGCGCAAATGGCACTACGTTTAACCATATGTTTTTATCGAAGATGACGTAGAAACCAATCGGCGATCTGCTTCTATTCAGTTTTTTACGGGACCTGCTTTAAATAATAGTGACTAATTCTACGCCCACAAATATATATTTAAAACTGACTAAGGAGATGCAACATTTGATTCGGTAAAATTTAAACATTTTCTTAGCCTAGGTAACTGATTAACTCTAAAATAAACGATTGCTCCCTACGTCACAATATTCGAACGAAGGTCACGCACGCCTTGACAGCAAAAGCTAACTCAAACAAAACACGTTTAGGTACATTGAACAAGTAGGAAATACATTTTCGTGCATCATAATATAAGAAAACAATATTATAGACACAGACTAGTGATTAGATTGAACGTGAATGTAAGAGCGGGTGAGTGTGGTGTATACTAAGTATCAACCATTGGAAAAGAATACCTATTCATATGATTATTTAATCGTAACAGAGACACAACCATGCAAAACGTAGATTGAAACCGCCATTGAAATCTGATTCATACAATTATTGAAGTCATGCTCACTTCCGTTAGTGATTATTCATTAATAGTCTCACGCCTTTTGGAATGTTTAAATGGTTTGGTTTATTATACATGTGCGTTTATTTAGGACCAAAGTTATATAATTTGGTTGTCTATTAATATATTTACATACATTATTTATCAGATGAAAGTAAAGCAAACATATATAGAAGCGGGTAGGATGAGGGTGAGAATCGATCTGTGTGTCTGTTCACATGCGACGCCACGCAGGCCCTATTCCCCCGCCCCGCCCCTCACAAGCCGACGCGTCACGTCCACGACTTCAGAGACCCATTGAACACTTGCAATCGCCTGAAAACTATTTTATCGTACATGTTAATTAGCAGTTAACATGTTAAGTAGCCTTTTGAAATATAATATCGTTCAGGACAGCATGGCGAATGTGTATTGCTATAGCACACTTAGTATTTTGCCCCATCCCCATCACCATGAGAGCCGTGGAAGTGACGCGTTAATCCCCCCACAAAAGGCAGTTATGATACAGCGGTGTGTCCGCGCCGGGGTCGTAGGAGCGGCGGCGGAGATTGTGTACCTCGTAGTCCCGAGTCTTGTCTCGACACCATTGCAGCAATCTTTCTTTAATAGTGACAGCGCTGAGCTGCAACGCTGGGTCGGTGAACTTGAAGTAAGGCTGCGAAGGAGAGCCCGGGCTCTGCGGTGTCTTGGGCGAGCTACAACGTGGTGAGTCGCGATTAGTCTCCGGAAGTTGCGACGCTCGTGTTGCTTGTTATGGGTAGAACTAGTTCTCCTCGATTCGAAAGAAGTTCGCCCTACCATTCTATTATTATTAGAATATTCTACCGACTCATTACGAAGTTCCTAGCTCCACCCGTGTCGTGCAGTAATGAACGGGGAATAACGCGTGCGTCTACTCGTGCCCTATTGAACGGCGATCGGAATGAAAGTGGTAAATGTAAGAAAATGAATGCCTGTATACTAACAATAGACTAATAATGACGTGTATATCAAATATATTATCTTGTAATTACAGGTGAAATGTAAAGCGCGAATGAGATCTGAGAACTATCAAATGTAAATAATACAACAAATACTACTGAAGATATAAATAAGTATTTCCTCATGTCCCCATTACATCCAATAGGGCTACAGATAATAATATATATTAAATTCCGAATATATACGTACCATAAATAATTACTTTTTAAGTGAGAAATATTGTAAAATAATATGTGATGTATATAATATTAATCATTTATTTACCAATTTAAGGTTGTTTTTAACAACTGAAATGTTTTATTATTTATCAAAAGGGAAATAAAGTGTATCTTACTTAGGGGAATTGACAGAATTCTGTTTCTCGAGCTGGCGGAACTTGGCAAAAGGAGAGACAGGCTTCGGCACCGGCCGGCTCTCAATTACTGGAAGGTACAAACGAGTATGTTAAGCCAATGTGCACTGCAGCTAATTTAGTAATTTATATAAATCATGAAAGCATAATTAACATTGTATTCGTACCTTTAGTATTTGTTATGGTAGTGCTGCTAACGGTTTGCTCCGTTGAGTTCCTCCTAACGCTCGATGTAACATTGGTAATTTCTTCTTCCTCTGTGAACGATAATAGCAATTAAAACAGACGAAATAATATTTCTTGCAATAAAACACATGAAAACTAGCGGCAAGACATTACAATGACTCTTAAGCTTTTAGTCAAAACACTGTTACGAGGCTCTGTGCTATGAGGTCGTTACAATATGTATTATGTACAACGGTTTCGAAGGTGGTCGGGAAAGGTGCAAGCACAAGCGCAGGCCCACACACACACGACTCACGCGCGCCTCGCTCCTTTCTGCTAACTAGTGGAATGTGCTCTACAGCTAGGCTAGCCCCGACACGAGGTCTTCGAAGGCGTCGTCCGCGTTGCTCTCGTCCAGGAACTGCAGCTCGGACACGGCGGGCATGGTCCGGCTTCGACCCAAAGCGAACTGCGCTGAGGGCGTGCGCGTAGTCTTCGCCTGCTGACCTCGACTCGGCGATGTATGACCCGAAAAGTACGCCTCTACCGTTCGCTTCTTGTCTAAAAACTCGTCTTGGGATATGCCTCCTTCGTAAAGTTTAGGCACAGCTAATAAATGCATGGATTTCGTTCGCGCTACCACTTTTCTGGGTGACGTCGTTTTGAGATTGTATTCCGATAATCTATGCCATGATCCAGATCGTGTAAGCGCTGACCCGGGACTGGAGCCCCGACTGGCAGGAGACTCACTGGAGAGCATAGATTCTCTAGATGCAGCAAGTGCTGGACTGCGGGAGCCATACCCTTCGAATGCGTGCGGTCGGGTCGGAGAGTTTGCGTGCGAGGGAGATAGTACGGGAAGAGGCGGGGCCGCAAGTCGTACCTGGTTATGGGAATTTTCTCGCTTCTTCCTTTCTATTTGCGATATAACTTCATGTTTAGGAGAGGAGAGTTTATCGAGAACTCCACGTAAATTATCAGCGGCTCCACGCGTTCTGACGCCAGTTGTTATCGTAGCAGAGCCGCGAACCGGGCCTCGCATTACCTTAGTTACTACGCTTTCATGCTCTGTCGCAGTATCCTCGCCGTTAATCCTTCCATCACCGTTGTGGTGGCATGTCTGCTGCTTGAGCTTCGTTGGGCTGATGGGAGTGACGTTAGTTATCGGTGAAGTTAAGTAGTTAGTAGAATTATTTTCGTTAATGACAACGTCTGGTAGGTAATCTACTTTGTGAGCTTTAGCTTTTTCTATGTCAGGGGTTTGTTGCAGTGGTACAAATGAAGCCGAATTAAGCGGTGTGTAGTCTACTATCGTGTACGGAGTGGTCGGCGGTATTGCAGAGAGAACGGGAGGTTTATGCATCGTAATGTCACGGCGCTCGCAAGATGCATCTCGTTTACTCTTTTCCAGAATTTGTCTTTCATAGAATTCAATCTGTAGTTGTTGTGCGTCAATTTTAGGGGAATGATCATCAGAAGAGTGATGGCCATTGTTGCTGTTAATTTTTTTTACTAGTTCTGGGGCCGTTAAGCTATTTTGACTCGGAATCGCTTTAATTGGATAGTTACGGTTATGTTGCGCGTGAGTCGGAGGCGTGGCCGGGTATTCATAACTTTTAAGATTTGACACATGGTTAAATTTATTATTTTCATACATTGTTGTTATGCCAGTTAATTGTCTTTGTTTTTCAGCATCGGAAGACAAATACGCGCTGCCTGCTAAAGTCGGAGAATTATAAGAAGGTGGAGTGCAGGAAGGATATTTTAGTGGATTTTCAGCAGAAGGAGAAATAGGTATACTACAGGATGGGGGACTCCATATATTTGGCGGAGTCCTAGTCGGAGACAATACTTTTTGCGGGGGCTTAAATGCTGACATTGGTGCGTGAGAGAATTGATTAACCGGTAAGGGTTTAGCAACAAAAGGTTTTACATTAGAGGGTTTTGTTGGCGAGAGTAAACAAGGAGGTTGAACTGTTTGTTGTGGTACTTGCTTGGCTATTGGTAGGATATGTGACTTCAGTGACTCTCGTCGTTGAGACACCCACGGTGGCTTCACGATATCAGGAACGGCTTCATTCGAGGTCAAAAACTTCCTTGGGCGAATCATGGTGTTGTTCGTGGAGTCTGCCACTTGCCAAAAACGTTTAGCTGAAGTCGAAGCACTCGATGATCTACTGTGTTCTTCTTTCTCGCGAGTTTCAAAAGCATTTTTAATATTTCCAAACCGACTACTCCAATTAGCCTGTCCTATCCCATGGTTTGTTAAGTTTTCTTCGTTCTTCTGCATAAAAGCTAAAAACTTTTTGTCGTTTTCTGTTTCTGGTTGAAATTCTGGAACTGGGGGCGCGTGACTGACATTTGTATCGTTATGGGTTGCACTATCGAATTTATATCCCCCCAAAGGCCGACCGATATCAATAGTGTTTGCACGTTTCATTCGTAGACGTTTGGCAGCATTACTAGACCTGTTGAGTGGTTTAGATAGGTCATCCGACTGCGGAGCTGCAAAGTTATAGGTAGGTGGAGGCGGACGATAAGTCGAACGCCTTGCTTCTTCAACAGCTTTGTGCTGTAACGTGATTTGAGGTTTACTAGTGGGCGTTCGTTTGGTCAGTAAGAGATTTTCTTTTTCAATTTGAACATCAAATTTGTTGGCTAAAGCCGCAATCCCACCTTTAGATTCTAATTTCCAGCGTTCTGCAGCAATTCGGGGTGTTTCCGATGCGATACTGTCTGCAATTGAATGTCTAAAGAAATCTGCCTTTCGCGGTGCGGAAAAGCGTCGTTCTACAATTTGAGCATCTCTATTCAGTTTCGGGCCCGATTCATAGCTGACGTTATGAGCCATGGTCGGGAGTTTCTGTTTTGTTTCAACGGGCTCGAAGTAGCTAACATCTTCATCGACGCTTTGCTTCCTTTCCGGCGTGCAAGACTCGACACTAGATGTATTTGAAGGGACGTTCGGCGTAACCGCTTTTACGTCAGGTAAAAGCGTGTCTCTGTCCACCATACGCCGTGCTTCCTCAAGTTCCTCTCTAGTGACGCCAACTGTATGTCTAGCGGTTCGGCTACGGCGGCGCGGCTTCCTTTTGCATCCGTCGAGTCTATCGGCTACGTCGAGGGCGTCCTCCAGTCTGTCGGCAAGGGCGAGAAGGGCTCTCGCTTGCGGGTGATCCGCGGGCGGTGCGAGAGCCAGCCTCAGCCGCTGCAGAGAACGCCGCACGTCTGCTACGACGTCGTGCGAGGCCGCGCCGAGTCCCGCGAGTAGCTTTTCTCCGCCGCCTTGAAGCAGACCCTGGAGTAGAGGCAGAAGTAGAGACTCACCGCGTTCTCCAGCTTGCTGATGCTCTTCCGTCTCGGCCGATTCCACGGTCTCGCCGGCTGCGGCCAAAGCTTCGGTCACTGCACTCGCGCATGCTGAAGTTAAAAGATGATATAATTACAGGTCAATTTTTACTCTATTAGCACGACTCGACGTTACGAATGCTTCACGGCGCGGTGGCTGTGGTCAGCGCGAGATAGCTTTTTCGCTTTTGTATTCGTTAAAGGCGTTTTATTTAAATGCCTTGTAGGTTCTCGCTTAACCAATATAGTATATAAGGATAATGCACGTCATCCCGAACTGCATGTTTCCGAAATTCAATGATTAAAACAACCCACATTAAAAGTATTCTTCATACCTTCCTGTTCCGCCATGAGAGCACGAATGCGCGTGCGCAGTCGTCGTCTTAGTTCGTAGTCAGTGCACTCGTCGAGCTTTAAGTATAATAATAAAATGGTATGAGTATGGTATGAGAGAATTTGGCTAAAAGCCATACAACAACACATTTTCCGCATTTTAGGGAGCCATAGATGTTGGGTGTTTTTATCATACGAACTAAAGTAATGATAAATGCGTTAACAATCCATGTAATTGTAGATATATAAAAATTACAATTAGGTATTATTTAGATTTGCTTATAAAATGTACATGGAAAAATAGACGAAGTCATAACACTGTACTGGGTATTTTTCATGTAGAAAAAGTGCTAAAAAAGTGCAGATTGCGGCATTTCGTATTAATTGCACAATTTATATATAAACATCAATCATAAAAAGGAGTATTAACAATATAGATCTTAGAATTGGCCAAAAAAGTTTATTTTATCTCATCATTTCAATAACAAGCTATCGTAAGAGACAATAAATTAGTCTACTGTGCTTCCAGTCCAAACTGAAACTTTGACTGAACAAATATGTGTAAAAACTCACTAGTTTCCGTAGTACCCTCTCGTCCCAACACTGCTCTATGTCGACGTCTCTTTGTCGACCTCCGAATTTATCGACGCCGCTCTTTGATCTCTCCTGAAATAACAATCAAAAGTGTAGTTTTGTGGACATAATACTTGTATCCGTAACTGTAATTGAAAAAAATAACGAGCTTTTATCGATGAGGCTGTAGTCATTCGTGAAATTATTAACAGTTATGAGTTCCTACATAATATATAATTTGACTGTTTTGTTCAAAGTTTTAGAGCGTTAAGAAATTGAATAAGCATGAACGCGTGATAGTGTGAAATTCAGTAAGAGTCAATAAATGGCACAAATGGGTGTGGGCGGAGCGGCGCTATCGCTGACAGACCTTGGGCGGCCGCGCAATGTGGCTGGATTTTATTTTCGTTTGTTTGTTATGATCTTTCATAATCATGTACAAGGTTGTTGAAAGTTTACGCAATGGGCTATCGTAGACCTAATAAAAACCCTTATCATTATTTATTAACTGGAATAAATAAAGTTCCAGTTAATTAACTGGTCGATCGGTAAAAAATATCAGTAACATGACCGTGAATATCAACCGTATATAACCGATATAATATAATAGAATAAGCGAACCCTAAAGATTGCACATCAGAGCAATGTTAATCTATATTTAAGTTGTGCAGCGAAGGGCGCAGTCTAAATTTGTCCCATCGCATTCTGCAGACACTGCCGTTTCCCCAAACTCACGAAATGTGCAAACAGTGTAAATAACCTGGACACGGTAGTTGTGTCCAAATTGTGAAACAATACAAAAACAGTGGCGGAGGCGGAGAGAGGTGCTATATTTGTGCAAAATGTGCAGACCGAATAATGCCCTAGCTGAGGATAAACAAAGAAAAAACACAACACATTGGACCATTCATCTGCTGAATCCTCTAATCGACTTTCTTTGTCAAAAGATTTGAAAATTGTGCGAAGTGAGCTAGTAACGTTTACGACAGCAATTACACTTTTCCACAGCGAACATCCAATCCTGCTGGATTCAGAGAAGGAATTGCAAACATAGGGAGCAGAACAGTTTTATTGAAGTGCGTCCACTTATTTTAGTTAGGTTTAACGAAAACGCTTCACGAGTGGACCGAAAAACTTATCAAACAATCGAACCATCGTATTTGATTCGGCGACATCCTTGATTTGAGAACTGGCAGTAAAATTAGAAGCATTTAATATATATTACTTTTTTGACGTTCATAAGTGCACATTGTGTTACCTATATGAATAAATGATTTTTCATTTTTGTTTTTTTTTGACAACAAATAAATTTGTGAATGATATCATAAAGCTATAGCAAGTTGGTTCGCAGGTTGTCACTGGCACATGGGTTGGCATCTAATGGGTGTCCTGAAAAGCAATGTTATCGCTTGTAGTGACTGCTTAAACTTAAACTAAGAAATATATTTTTACAATGAAAAACCCATTGAAAAAAATATATCACTTTTTATGTTACTATTTAAAATTAAATTATTTTTTTTAGTTAATTTTTAGACGTCTTGTTGTACTTTTATTATTAGGGTTATTTTTTCAAATATTCTTATCTTGAAATGTTTTATGACTAGAAGAATTGTAAGTTAACTATTTTCCGGTATTTAGCACACTAGGAACTATTCCGGATAGCATTTCCATCGAGAAGATCAGTGGGACAAATATTTGGCAGGTCAAAGCGACCCAGCCGCCGCAACCCACGTTCCTACAAACCATCCGTTTCTCGTGGATACAAATAGACACCGCGTAGTTCTTTCGTTGGGTGAGATAATGCTTGAATAATTTCACGACATAGATAAGGTGCGCGCAATAATCAGCTAATGGTCATTATTGTGCGCAGTCTTTTGTTGTGATTTAATATTAACAAAACAAAAAGCTCTAGTCCGTAGATAGGTATAGTCTGATAAAATTATTGAAAGTCTTAAGAAATAATAATTATTTTATTAATAATGTAGTATAAAGTAATTATTAAGCCTTATTTAACATCGGCAATAGCCAATATTGATATTTATTGTTTCCGTAAAAAAATTTATACCATTTATCGCCCCGTTCTGGCCGCTTCACAAGTATGCCATTTACAATTTCTTATAACTATATGAATTAAATAACAAATGTTTAGTATTCGTTTTTGCTTTTTTAGTCTTTGGTAACGGGGCGTGACGGCTTCGGATGAGCAATGATTATGTATCTGGGTTTTGTACAATATTATCAAAATATGTATTAGCACAATCTTCTAAATATCGTAAATCAATTAATAAATACTTAAGTACCGGAAAGTGTATCTACATAAGATTATATTAATTATGAAACATCGCAGAGAGATTTAGGCAAACAGTTAAACTCTTTGTATTGACTTGAAGCCAGCCAAGTCCAGGCGAAAGTTTAATGTTTGTGTTTATTGTAAATATTTTAATGTGTAGTTTCTTATCTCTTCTATCTTCTAAGAAACCGTTTAGTTAAGTAAAAGTTAAAGGTAAAACTTAGTAACTTTATACTATCTATATAATCAACCATTATTTTTCCAAATAAAAAGTCCGAACACCTAGAGCGGGTCTGCAAAAGGCTACAGCGGTAGTTGAATGGAACTACATAATATATGTTTTAGTGTCAACATCGCTTATAACATTTTTAACAGAAACTGCTTCATACAAAAATGGTTTGTAAAGTCTAGATGTTAATGCTTATATAATATATGATAGTAATATATGATGAAGTAATATATAAGCTTTAATCAATTTTGTCTCATGAAATTTGCTGTATTCAGAATTGTAGTTAAATTCTCGCTTGACTTTCCTAAGTGTGTGTTGTTAGTTGTGATGAGTCAGCATACTATCGATACATATATCTACAGGTACAATTGACCCATTTCCCGGCTATATCAGGCTCAATACGGATATTATTAGACACGAGTGAACGGCCGGGATCAGCTTACGTACAATCGGTGATCATTTAAAGACATACTTCTTGATGACAATATTTCAAAATTTTGATTTTGCTTAGTAATGAAACTAATGTTACGGGCAGTAACTTCGACAAAATGTACAACCGCAATATGATATGTTATCCACATTTATGCAGCTCAAGTCAGCCTTTAAATTATTTAATACATAAACTATTCATTAAAGACAAACTAAGTTTATACGATAAGTTATATTTTATACAAATAATGTTACGTAAGAAAACACAAATGAGTTTTCGAAACTCAGAATTTATGGTGTTTGGTGGCCCAAAACGGGTTTAACAGTTTTTACGTTGAAAGTAGCGAAAAAACGAACACTGCCATTGCGATGCAGCCAAAGTGAAATATGAAAGTGGCTTAGTGTGGCCGTTAATAATTAATTCAGATACGAAGTTTACCGTACGTAATGCACATATATGTTTTTTTACGATCGATAACAGATTTGATCCCGTTTTAGTATTGCGCTTTAAGCATTATTTTTGCGTCCAATTTAAATGACAATGTCCAATCTCCATCGCCTTTGTGTGCACATTGTGTCACGCTTAGTTACAAACAGACAATTAACCGGACCGACTGATTGTCCTAGTGTCAACTGGGTTGCTGGGTTGCAGGAAATTTGTACCTAATTGTAACAGGTTGCTATTATAATTAAAGTACTTATAACAGTATGTAAAAGAGATCTTAGATAAGTGTAATAATTGAATAAAGCGTTGTTAAAAAACTAACACCCTATAAAAATTCTAAATGAGCGCGGATATTAAAGAAGGCATTTCTGCGCCACAGATTTTAATAACGACACGTAGATTCGCCAAACACGATCTATAGTTAACTGTTAATCTGAACCAGCAGTAAAAAGCGGAGTACATAGTTATAATCAAAACGGAAATGATGCGGTGGAAGCTCTAAATATACGTTTACGATGTGTAAAAAGCATAAAATCAAATCCAAAAACTCACATAAAAATCGTGTAAGATATTTTATAATTATTTTTTTGAAAATCACAAACAATTTTGGCTTGGTTGACTCAAAAATATTGTAAATAAATTTAGATAGAGTAATAAAAAACTAATTCGGAAAACCACAGAACCTAACTATTCATTGTATACTAAGAAAAAGATAAATATACGACAGAAAAACCTACGTAAATAATAATTTTAAACTTAATACCGCATAAGGATTAAGAATGATTGGGGCTTCATGACAGGCATTGTATATCGTTGCGGTACCGCCTGCTATTATATTACTAAACCAAAACCTTTAATCTTATTCTTCAATATTTTGTTTAGATCTTTAGCACAAACATACATGATGTCAGTTAAAAAATATATCAACTTCTGAACTTCTGATACAATACGTAGATTATAGAAAGCTTATTATAGTAATCTTACCTTTGTTACAAATTAGTGGCAATCCTTAAAAATTTGTTACACTAGTAACACTAATATTTTATTCATTAAAATTAGAAAAATAATTATTTTTTTCTCAATTGATGTTTTAATTGATTTATAGTTGCAACGCACACTGCGCGTGCGGCGATTCAAGAAAGACTGCGCGTGAACCGCTTTTGACGTCACCGAACCAAATATAGTCCGTTGAACTTTCCACGCAATTTTCCACGAAAACTCGAGGAAAGCATACGCAGTAAAGTATTATTTGGGATGACTGAAATCGTGAGTTATGTCTGTTGGAAATTTTATAAGCATATGGGTGTTATTTTTGCCGAAGATTTTCGTTTTTCCCGCGTGTCTTTAAACGGCAACGCGAGTGCGCCGAGCATTTGTTTACTATCGTAAATCGAAATCATTGTTATATAAAAGCACTTACGATGCAAGCGCATTTTAAAAGATCTTTATTAGTATTTTATATTATGTTAAGAAAAATTTATATAGTTTGTTAACAAAAATAATATTTGATTTAAATTTTTTTGGGTACACAAAATTTGCATTAATGGAAACTAAAAAATAAGCACGACTAAGGAAAGACGTTATATAGGATAAAAACGTGAGCGTGTAGAACAAAGACGTCAAATGTAGCAAGAAAAGAAACGTGTCCGAAGAGCACTTAGTGCGTAATGGACATCGGGTGAAGATAGAAATCGATCGCGTACATTGAGCTCATTGTTTCGATACAATTATTAAAGCGGCCAGTAGATCGAGATAGATCAAGTATATAATGCACATGTTATAAGAAACGCACAAGTAATGCTTATAGGGTAACTGAGCTGATAGGGACAGGAAGTGAATTTCCATTACCTTACTTACTGTGGATACTGGATACCCTCAAATTCAAATTATGAAGGTTTCTCTACGCGAGCAATCCAAACAGACATCTTGTAGTATCTACATAGAGGTGTCATCTTCGTGTCTGCCATAATGTGTTATTTTAACTACAAAATGCTTAGTAATATTAGGTATAGTTTCTTTATTAAATGTGATATTAAAACGCCATTTAGGTATAATAGTGGCGCGAATTCAGGGATGAGAATTGTACGCTGAAGCCACTAGGCCAACACTGCTTTTTTTACAATATTAATCATTCCAATTTAAAAAATTACAAGTAGGTAAACGAATATATATGATTCTATCGTAGTCTATTTTCCAAAATTTTCGACAAAACCCTTCCGGTAGCATCGGTTCGTAAATCTGCGAATCAGGATGACTTGACAGACAAAAACACAACACGTGTCGTGGATACCGGCGCACGCGCGGCAATATTTCCACGTCAGGCGTAATTTATTTGCGTGTTGGCATCGCGCCGCCGCTTTCAAAGGAACTAAGCTTTCCGCAAATGATTGCAAACAAAGATAGGAAGATATCTTCTCTAATCTCCATGCGGTGTCGACTACACCTGAGGAAAAATCAATAGATAATATAACTATGTAAACACGTACGATGACCTATTGTCCCAAAGTGCAATTTAATATCAATATTGCAGGATTTATACAATATACCCGATAAGCATTTGTAATAATTACTTTTACTAATTTTGTATTCCATAAACAAGCAAAACTTTTATTGTTTATTTAGAATTCGGCAGTTGTCCTTATAAGGCGGTCGTCTGTAGTACTACGACGTTGGCACTGGGCGGGCGAGTGTAACGACCACATGTGGGGCGGCACTCGCTGGGCGGAAGCCAACAGATGCAGCTGAAGGGCCTCATGGGAATCTCTCGGAACGTTAGTACTAAGAAGAAATTATGTTAGACAGATTAATGACTGATTCTGTCCTAATTAGCTGACTTTGAATCAGCTTTTGCTGGCTATTCGGAAAGTTTGATAAGAATCGCATTTATGTTATATTTAAGACAATTTTAAAAAGATTTTCGTCGACTTTTTTAAATACTGAAATAAGGAAATAAGGAGGTTGAGGAAATGCACACCCATTTTAATGATTTTCCCAGCGAAGGAACGGCACTATCAATAAATATTTTAAATGAACGACTGCACCAATTCGTATATTGAATAAATCGTAAAAATGCGACTTTGCGATACAGCTTTGTTGTAAGCCTATTTTTTTCATAGCTAGATAACTTACTTAAGGAACAGTTAGACACCTGCGTAACATACAATTATAAAAAACAGTATAATATATATAATTGTCATTATAAAAACTTCACTATTAATGATTACACAAGAGTTAAATCGCATTCGATAAGTATAGACATTCATAATTTATCTGAACATAGTGTGCAATTATCCCAAACGCATGTATCAATATAGACCTTAATGTGACAAAGAAAACGTCGAATATCCCTTGAACGACATTGTATGATGGTTGTGGTGGTACCGTGAGAAATGGGATCGTGCCAAGTGCAATATGTAATTTTGCTGTGGACATTGACTTTTTGTTAGTTTAGAAGTAATGCGATGCGCTGGTGGTATTGTTAGGCTTCATTTGCGAATTTCTTATCAATCGAATTACAAAAACACTTAAACAAAAGTACTTATATAATTTTGACTCGTATAACTTGAAAATGACATTATGTTTATGAATAGGACAATTATTAGTCTACCGTACTACTACATTATTTACCAACCTGCTTAGCGGGGCCACTCTCGGTAACGTAGTTCTGCATGCCAGCCATCAGTACGGTGGCGCCCAAGAACTTGTTGAGAAGCGCTCGGGCTTCGCTGTCCTCGTTGCTGTCACCTTCCTCTATCACTGTTACATCACATACCATTACTATGGCTTAAGTCTCACTCACTTTCTATAAAAAATCCACTTGTAATTCCTTGTACTAACATGTATGCAGAATAAGACTATAATATAAATAAAAAATGACAAGGATCTGGTATCCTAAAACTTATAGCAGCATCTATAACTCACCAATATCAGCATTCTTCATTCTGGTAAGAATATCTTGAACCCCGGTGACTTTAGTAGAGCTGTCCAGAAAAGACCGCTCCTGTGTGTGTCCACCGGTTTTAGTGACGGTTGTGGTCGTCCTGAGCACATCCCCGAGCTGCTCCGTGGTCGTGGTCGTTGTGGTCATCATGTCCTCCAGAGAAGCCAAGCTATGTTCGCTGTCTGTACGAGCTAGACCTGTTCATACAGTTTATGCAACATAAGCCATGAATTAGTACTATTGATGCGGATGATCCAGGCAACGAACTTTACATAAGCCAGTGAAAAGTACATACTAGTGAACTTCATACATTTTTTTCTCTAACAGAAAATATCACAAGGGGAAATGCTTTTGCACATAAACAGTCATTAGGGATAAAGCTTATAACCGTTATCAATGGAAAATACTGACCAGCGTGAGCAGAAGAATCACTGGAGACGCTGTCCTTCATACCGGCTGTGCGCAAAATCAGGCCCGCCTTGGGGTACACCTGGCGCTCGGTCTTTGTCGTCTCACCTTAAACGCAGTAAATTAAATTGTTTTTATTTCTGAGACTTACCTCAGGGTGTATAATATATAAAACTAAAGGATACCGAAGTAAGTTTTATTTCTCTATTTCCTTGTTTTCTTCGTGTACTAGTTTGCCGGGTACATGTATTGATCGAACGTATAAAAGTATGTTATGTTAAGTGTTGCTCGGTTTTAAAGCGGTATTTCGGTGTAAAGAATAACAATGGGCACAAAGGAAAGCTCAGATCCTAGGTATTGTATATTAGTTTTGAAGGAGCTTCAGGATTGAGCGTGTGAACTATACGAATTATGATAGGGTTCTAATTAAAACTCGGTGTGGTTACAGCAGCCGTAGGGTTGCCTGCAGTAGTTAGGGTCTCACTACTTGGGAGTGCTCACAGGTAAACAGAAAGAACAGATTATTAATTTATTTCTTTGTAAAAGTCCAGTTCAAAACATGAAAAACAGTAGGAGTGTTGGCATTTATTGTTTACGTGCGAATTTGATAGCAGACACCGTAAATTCATATGCCTGGCTAAAAGAGCACTAATAATGTTTCCCGGAATATACATGGGGAACTTTTGCTGATTTTGTGTCGTATATTAAGTTAGACATGTTAGCATTTAAATAAAATCGAAAGTGTTAAAGCAATAATTTCACAAGACGTCACTTCAAAGTCATCATTAGTCGGCACTTTGTATACTTTCCTTTTCAAACGATGACTCATTGTCAGCTCGACATTTGAAAACTACATAGAAATAAATATAATTCATAAACTTATTTTTTTTTACAAATATCACATTGCTATTGGACACTAGATCATAATAATAAATTCAATGTTTTTTGTATACATTTGACAACAATTGTTAAAATTTTAATATAATATATATATGTATTATTGAAATACTAGTAGGTATTGATTTACATATAATGTATGAAATATTTAAAGATAAAGGAGATTAATCCGCTCTTACTTGCGTTTTTGATAAACTTCTCGGTGAGCGACTTGACAGAACTCTGGCGGACCGTCTTCCTATCCTCGACTCGTCTCTCCGCCCTCTGCATTCTGTCGGAGTGAGTTTCTTTTTGATCGGAATCCCTTTTTGTGTCCTTTTTAAGACTAGACTGAACCAATTGATGGGTCCGTTTTTGACTCTGCGTCTTGTTGGTATCAATCTTGTTCGAGATTATTTCTATTTTCTCTCTCTGATCTGTCCTTTGAAGAGAGTCCGTATGTGTGTCTATCTGGCACTCTGTGATACGTCTGTCGCAGTGAGTGAACTGCTCTAGAGCTGCACGCTCCTCTTTCTGTTGACAAATAATAAAGAGAGGGGCAAATGTAATAACTTAGCCGACACGATAAAACTCTGACAAACTTTTAGTTTAGAATGTCAAACTCCAATAGAAACTTTGCAACATTTCGTAAAATTTTATAAACAAACAAAAAATAAACGCAAAAAGATGATTTTGCTTGTGTTGCTACAATTAATCTCAAGGCGTTTCTACGTACAGTTGCCACTTCACCCAATGTGGTCCCAGTGCCACCGCCAAATTTCTTTGTCGTCGTGATGGCAGCAAGGCCATGTAGTCGGGAGGGTTTCTCTCCCTGGGTCTGCAGCAGCTTTTCCAAATCCCCAGGCTCCGTAGAGTAGGCGGTCACGGAGACCGTACCTTCAGGTTCACTGCCGTTGCGCGAATGGAACTCTTGACGAATGACCGTTCCTTTCACTAAAGTAACAAAAATTTTACAAATTTGTCAACAGTTTATGTAAACAGACATTGTTGAGGTTTTTGTTGGACACAAAAAATGTGTTGGCGGTGTCAGTGTCCGACGGAGACTGTCGAGTGTCGAGTGTTGAGCAGTGACTCAGTCCGAAGTAAAACAATTACTGTTTGCAATGACTGTCTGTTTACATATTGTGATCCTGTAATAAACAGGTGTGTTGATTTTGTCGGAATTTTCGTTCTATGTAACTTGTTCGTAAAGGCATTACTGATATTATGTAATGTGTATATTGAGAAGCGTTAATAATACTCTCTGTTGTGATATAAAAATGTTTACAGATAATATAAAAGAAACCCAATCCGATGTTAATATTTGTTTTAGTTTCAAAATATAATTAGGCTGACTTGTGAAACTACGATTAAGGATTTTCAGGAATAATGCTATGTTTTCTGCACACGTTTACATCAACTCATAATTAATTAAGATCACAATCTTATTGGATCATTATGTAGAAGAACAAAAATATACCTTGATAGTTGGTAGCACCGTTCCTCAGTGCTTTGATTCCGAAGAGAGGTTTGCCATCGGCATCTAGAGGACCTGGGCCGTAGCTGGAAGTAATAACGTCGATGGGTTTTGTGATCGCCTTCGAAGGACTACTAGGCCGGTACTTAGGTTTGTCTGTTTCTATCTTCTTACTGCTGAACGTACGCGACTCGGTAGTAACCTTTTTCAGATTTCTTCTGGTCACCCAAGATGGTTTCTCCTCATGTACCTGCTTCTGCGCTATTTTTTTTTCGATACCCAATGTTGTTGATTTTATATCTTTTTTCATAGTTTGTCTTGTTTCCGGACTGGGTGACCGATTCGGACTAGGTTGTCGTCCAGAGTTCTGTAGCGATGGTTCCAAGGGCGTTTCAAATGTTGTCTCCCTTTCTGAACTTTCTGAACGTGGCTGTTGCATAGGAATCTTACGATCGACAGAACGATTAGGTGATGGAGACTTCTTGCCCTCGATTTGGACTTCGATAATATCCTTGGATGACGTGCGATCTATCGTTGTTTTTACATTATGAATGTCTATAATACGATTGGTTTCCATTTTCTTTGTTTCAGATTCATTCATATCCTGCACCTTGTGTTTTAACTTGTCGGTTTCAGAAATACCCACTTTTTTCATATACGCCGAGGCGTATTCGCTAAAACGATTCCCTTTTGTTTTCGGAGACAATTTACTAGGTGACACAGGCCTTCTTTTATCTGAACTAGATTGACGTACAGTCTTTGGGGCAGGTCGTATTTGCTTTTCTGGACTTTGAGCTCTAACAACTTTGCTAGTTTTGTTGACTTGTCTATCGTGGCCGTTACTTAATGGCAATTGTGGTTTTTCCTGTTCATTATTAATACCTGCTGTCAACTGTTGACAATCAGGTGAACCTGACTTGTGGATATGTTTGTGTTGGCGTTCTGGAGAAGATGTTCTATTAGGGGCACTTCTATTTTGCGCTTCAGGTGAGTAAGCTTTCTTTGAAATTGGCAATCTTTCTGGAGAACGTTGTGCTAGTCGTTCAGGTGATTTAGTTTTGATAACTTTGGTTATTGATTGTCTTAAGTTTCTTATAACTTTTGTAGTTTCCTCTGTTTCAATCTTTTTCTTTGCGACACGTATTTGAGCTCGTATGCGTCGCCTTTGTTCATACCCCACTACTTTTTCCAACTGCAAGACAAAATAAATATATTAATACCTAAACTTCAAATAGAAAAGAGAATGGGACAACGTCAATAACTGATAGAATATTTAATAAACATAAAATCTTACCATTTGTTCTAGAAGGTCCAAATCGAATATATCCTCAATACAGGGTTGATGATGTTCCACGCTGCTGCGTCGTCGTTCACTACTGACAGAAGACCTATCCGCACTGGTCCTGCGTAGTTCCACACCAAATTTTCCACTTCCCCGTCTACTGCTCACCTCGATTTCCTCTACATATTTCTCTTCTTTCATTTGACTCGTCTTTGTTGGCCGTTGGTAGCCAGGAAGATTGTCAAAAGATTTTTCTTGTTTGTTTTCCAGGGCAAATTGCTTTGTCGTCGAATTGACTTGTTCAGTTACGGGAAGGCGTGACAAGACTTTTTTTGGCACTATAGTTGCTGTTTGGGCTATAGGTGACCTTATATTACTTATGGGTGATACTTCTCTTAGTATGGGTGATTTTGTTCGTACTATTGGTGATTTATCTCTAGGCGATTTAGGCAATGGCGATCTTTCTCTCGCGATTGATGTCTTATCGTATTTGTGAGGCGAATTTGGCCGGATACTAGGCGTTTTATCTCTTCGTTGAGGTGATGTGGCTCTGTTTATAGGCAGATTATCTTTTTTTATGTCATAGCTTGGTAACTGGTTTTTATCAGGTGATTTTTGCCGATTGCGTGAAATCAATTCAGTGTTTTCTTCGTCATAATCTGTTTGTTGAATTGTTGGTCTTGGATCTTGAGTTAGTTGCGTTGTTTTAGTTGTTTGAATTTTCTGTGAGACGCCTATATCGGTTAATTTTGTTGTTCTATTGTGAACTGTTCTTTCTTTAAGTTTTGTAGTCGACGCAATATTTTCAAACAAGGCTTTGGCCTTCTTAACAGCTTCGCTGCTTCGCAAAGTTGTTATTTTTACTGATCCAAGTTTTTCAGATTGTTTTATATCAGGTTTTAATTTATTTGAGCCCGTTGTCGATTTTGTATTGTTATCGTCAGATGTTCTAACTGTCCGTGTTTTTTCATTGTCTCCAGCTATGGATTTATAATGTTTAGATGGCACCGAAATGTTTTCTGTTTCAGGTAAATTTTCTTCAACATCATTAACAATTTGTTTCATAATATTATCATGTACTTCCTGAATTTTTTTTTCTTTTTCTTCAATTGCGTTTGCGTCTGTAGACACATCCACGGCTGTTTTAACAAACTTATTAACTTTGTCAGAAACACTTAAGAGACATTCATCGCTTTTTAAAGAATCGTCTACATTTGAAAAATCTGGCCGCACTGGTTTTTGTATTGACTTGGGTTTCGTTGTTTTTACATTTTCAGCGGTTTCAATGAAAAGGTGGGCTTTATCATTAACACTTAATTTAGTGTAATCATCAGTATAAATGGTATCTCTATCATATTCTTCTTTTATATTGCGAGACGGACTTCTATCTTTAGATATAACGGATCCTTTAGCAAATCTGTTTACTTTTTCTGATACAGAAAGTAAGCATTCGTCTGATATTAAATTTCCTTTGATCAAATCACGATGAACTTTATTTTTGTTACAAATAATAGAATCGATTTCTTTAGATTGTACAGTATTTAATTTTGTTGATTTGTCAGTAACAAGCGACTTTTGCTCAACTTTTTGCATTTCGCTTTCTTCAGACCTAACAAATAATTCGTCTTCTTCACATATTTCGACTATATCATCAACAATTGATTCGGCTTCATGAATAATGTTATGTGAACGTTTATTTATTTCATCATCGGGTTCATTTACCTCATCTGGAAAACGTGGAGTACCAGTATCTTCAGAAGAGCCGACAGGCGTGGGACAGATACGATCAGGAGAGTTTTCCCTAGACGATTTCGCTTGTTGCACGTCAATGATAACATCGTCATCATCATCCATTGAAGTATTCAAAGCGGTTGCTGATTTAGGTTTGCTGACAGGCAATTTAGTGGGTACTTGCTTGATTAATGATTTTTGTGTTTTGGTACCAATTGTATGTGTATTCTGCTTATATATCTTGTTTGTGGCTACGTTATTAAGTTGAATTTCAGGTTTTGATTTCATTCTTTGCGGTGACACTTTCTTTAAAGGTGACTTCATACTGATGTCACTGGAAGTTCGTATTACTTTTGAATCTATTTCTTTTTTTAACGTTGGGGAATGATTTAACTTTTGCGGTGATTTATTCTCATTGTCTTGTGATTTATTATTGTTAACTGCAGCAGTCTTAGTTGCATTAAATTTAGTTGGTGATGTTCTCCTTGTACTCTGTGATTTAGTTGTCTTTTTTAAGTCCGTCCTTTCAGTTTTAAGTGTTGATGACGAAGATGTTCTTTGATGTTGATCTTTAGTATTCGTAATTGTTGTTTTAGAAACTTGCGGTGATTGAGGCCTTTCTATTGGTGAAACTGGTTTCTTCTCTACTGGTGACACTGGTTTCTTTGGAGAAGTACTCCTGGGCTTTACAGTTTCTGTGGTAGTTTTTGTCAAATTCTGTGGACTCAGTGGTTTTTTTATAGGTGAAGTATTTCTTGACGAAGGCTTGCTTGGAATCTGGTTTTTACTCGTAACAAACTTTTCGGTAACCAACTTTTTTTTCTCACTTATTTTATCTTCAGAATATACGATTGCAGTATTATTAATTTCTTTGGAATCTTGATTTATAGATTCATCTTTTGTAGTTTTATCATGAAGTATTGGCAACTTTGAATTATTTTTCTTATAATTATTGTCTTCCACTGGCTTCCCCTTGCGATCAGGAGATAGTTTTCGTAGAGAGGATTGAACTCGGTCTAGTATATCTTGTTCTTGCTGTGGAGTGATACATTCAGAAATAGTTTCTTTTAGTTTAACTTCTTCTGAAACATTATTAGACTTTAAGTGAGTGCTATCATGCACTTTATCATATTTTGTTTCAATAAAACTAAGTCCATTTTCAGAATCATTATCTGTAAGGGTTTTAGATTCTTGAGGTTTAGAGAAGGGTAAAATATAATTTTGTGGTGGGTTTTTGTTTGGCATTGTATCCTGAAGTAAGGTAGTTTCATTCGATGCGATTATTTGTTTATATGGCATATTTACTAATGTTTGACAGTGATCGATCACAGATTCTACGGGTGTTTTTTGCCAACTTGATTCACTAGATATTTGTATATCATTTTTCTGAGTTTGTGTTTTAAGCGGCATTGGGACGGATGTTTTAGTAGTTAAGTCAACAATATTAACTAACCCATAGTTATCATCGCAAAAACCTTTTTCTTCTATATGAACAGGACTTTCACAAGGTGAAATGCTAGGTGATGTTTTAGGTGTAATAGTGTCTCCAGATTTGGCAGGTGTTATATTTGTTTCTGTAGTTAGGTTGTCATCTGACATACCTAATATCTTTCTGCACCTTTCTTCGTATGTTTCGCGTCTTACAAGGGGTGGCTTAATCTTCATAGGTTTATCAGAATTTGTATTTGGCTTGTCTTTTGGCACTTCTTTTTTTTCATAATCATTAGTTTTTTCATTCTCTGGAGAAATTAGGAAACTTGTTGGTGGTTTTGGCAGTGATGTTACATTACCATTATCAAAAGAAGGCTTTTTCAAGGAACTCTTACGGGGAAGATTTTCCTTGTTGATAACTTTCTCTGGAGAAGGAGATCTACATGGAATTTTAGTAGGAGATGGAGGTCTTTCGTGTTCTTTTTTATTCGAATCATTTGTTGCTATTTTAATGGATTCTTTTGAAATAGTTGCCGAAGATTCTATCTCTGTTGTCGAATGTATGAAACCGCTATTAGTTGTAGGTGAGCTTTTTCCTGTAGAAGGAGCAGTCTCAACTGATTTTGATTTTCTTGATGGGCTTGTTGATGGTGTGTGAAGAGTCCGAGATTTTATTGCAGTTATTTTATTAATTTCTTCATTGAATACTTCCGTTTCAATGAAGTCGTGTGTTTGCTTATTCTTAGTATCCGATGTATGTTTTTTTGGAGAACTGCTTCGACGAGGAGAGTCTTTTGATGGAGTTGTTGATTTACCCTGAATATTTTTGTCAAAACTATTAAATACCTTGTCATTTCTATCAGTAGTTTTTACCACTTGTTTAAATTTATCATTTTTTTGAATTAAGTTCGAAGATATCGACGTATCCTTAGCACTAGGGCTAGGTGATCGATTTTTATTTTCGTTGTCTTTAACACGAGGTTCTTGCATATATCCAGGTATTTCTTTGTTCGATTTGGAAATTATCCTCACAGGGCTCTCATGTCTTTTAATAGGTGATGATTCCCTAGAAGGTTGCTTGTTAGGCCCAATATTTTTTTCTTTTCCTTCATGCCGATTTACAATATCGTGTTTTGGGCTTACACTTGTATTAAAATGTTGATGTGATTTTCCTGAATTTCCTGTTTGTGTATTGTTAACTTCTGTTTGCACCAAGTCTTTTGTGGGACTTATCGAAGTTCTCAATATTTTATCATAATCATCTATAGGCTGAACGCGTCTTTTACTATCACGATCAGGGGAAGCACGTGGACTTTGATGACTGTTTTCACTAAAGCTGGTATTTATTTTATTTTCTTCCTTAATAAAGCGTTCGTGCTCCATCTTTAAATTGTACAGCTGCCTGTCCGGGCTTTGAGAAGGCAATTGCTTTATGGGTGATTTTCGATCACTAAGTGGTTGCTTTGAAGGCGATGAACTTTTAGGTGAGCTAGATTCTGTCGGTTTCATATAATTTGGCTGATTATCTGCCTGTTCAGTAATATCAGTTTTAACACCTTTGATTTTTTCATCTCTAACATACTTTTCAGAATATTCTGATGTCGATGTTGTGCATGTATCTTGTCTATCTATAACCTCATGTTTTGAATCAATTTTTATCGTTGGAGAAGTTTGATTATGTCTTTCAGGACTTAGAATTCTTCTAGTTGGAATTATATTACTGGGCGATTCACGACTACCACCAGGTTGATCACGACTACCACCAGGTTGAAATGCGCTGTTTCGTTTTGGGCTAGTACTAGACCGCGTATTTGACGAATATCGTGGTGTTCTTGTTTGTTTATCTGGAGTTATGCTTGGTCTTTTTTCTTCATCACTGTTTGATTTTCTTTCAGGGCTATGTAGTTGACGTGTTGGTGATTTATTTTTTGAAATGTGTTTTTCAATAATATCAGTGGTATCATTTGACTTAGTTTCCGTAACAGAAGAAGACAACTGAGTACTAGAAAAGGTTTGATCAGTTGGAGTCTTTGTTGGGGAAAACCTACCAATTTTATTAGGACTTACACTGCGGCTTGATGATTTTTTATATATTTTATCAGGGCTTACACTGCTTCTTAGTGAAGATGTACTAGACTTAAATGTTTTGTTTCCGGGTGAAGGAGCCCTAGTTGTGGAGCGTGGTGGGGTATCTGATCGAAGTGTACTGGCCCATGCCTGATGAGTTGGGCTTAAATCAGTACTTATTTTACGATGGCTATAATCAGTTTGATATGTTGTTTGATACTGATGAGTGGACCTTGTTTCTGTATTCTCTCTGACGTTGCAGTCTTTTGATATTTTGTGTACATATTCTCCAGAGGTTTTAAGTATCTGGGAATCTTCTTGGTTTTTATTATGATTCATCCTACTATCAGCAGATGTTTCGTTAGGTCTGCGGTGTTCATTTTTATAAGCAGATTTTGAAGGATCTTCTAGAGTTGAATCTTTGTGGATAAATTGAACATCCTCTTGCTTCTGTACATCTTTATTAAAAATATTTATGTTATCATCTGCAGTATAATAGTCATCCCGTTTACGTTCATGAGTTTTGTTATTGTCTTTTTGATACGTGTCTTTGTTTACGTACTCTTTGCGGTCATAAACAGTCTTCTCCAGAACAGCATCGTTACGAACAATTTTACTATCATAAAATTTCATGAATTCACTTTGTTCTTCATTTTTTGCAGTTTCTGTGACTTTTTCGTTACGAATACCGTGCGTACTACTATCAGCGTAATCAGTTATATCACTATTTTTAAAATCCAAGTCATCTTTGTTTCTTTGAGAGTCGACTATGTCTTGCACATTGGTTTTATATGACTTATCCTGTATTACTTTTGTGGATGATTCATTTGATTGAGTTTTCTTTTGGGAAGATGTATACGAAGTCGATTTGCTTTCACTTTTTATTTGTTCTGAGTGTTGTTCAGAGCGTCTTGTCTGAGCACTTGGCACACGGAATTCCCGTCGAGTACTTGTAACTTTAGTACCATCAGGAAGACACCTCGTTTCTACTATGACTTTAGTGTTGTCATCGGGATAATCAATTTTTCTCGACAACAGTTCTCCATGTTCGTAGTCATTTCTTAATGTTTGATTGTCGTTACTTGTGTTGGCCGTTTCATTCCTTGTGAACTCTTCATTTCTATTGTTATCATAGAATGTTTGAGGATGTGAGTCATAATTATCATATACTTGATATGGTACTGATTCATAAGTCGATGTACTTTGTTCAAACTTTGACGCAGAAGTGGACGAACTACTTGTAGACGTGATGTGTGTTCCATCCCCGGTTTGTCGTTCTACTTGTTCATGAGCCGACGTGTTGGAATAATCTTCATTGCGTTTAAGATTCGATTTGCCATCGTTGTATTCAGTAACTGCCTGTTTGTGGTGGTCGGCAGCAACGAAGTGCCCTTTACCTCCATCAACGTCGTACCGTCCTTCGATGTTAGCGTTAACGGATTTCACACGTGTGTGGCCATCGTCGGTTGTCCTATTTTCAGACTCAACATTCCATCCAGCGTTAGATAGGTCCTTCAAATCTGTAAAAAAATACATATTTAATGTAATAATGGTAATCTTTGTCACGTACGGTTATTGGTTAATGAGTTAGTTCGGTTAAGAGTTTCAGGGGGCGGTAGGCACCTTGGCCGCGGTAGTTGAACTCCTTAGGCGGAGAGCCTGCGTCACGGACCTCTTTGCTCTTCATTGACTGGAAATTTTGGTCTGCAAATGATTTCACATGGCCCTGCGTCGACGAGAACTCACAACCTGTTGGATGGTGTAATAAAATGGGAGTCGCTTTACTAATACATACTAAACACATAACGTAATTTATATCAAAATCTTTTATGTAATTCTTTCCTATCATTTGCGTTCATTATGCAAATGTCTCAATCTTCTCACTCTTTATTGGTAACAACTAAAACTTATACTGTGGAAACAGTTTTGTTTAAATAAGTTTAATACAAAGAATTGCATAAGAATTTTTAGGTCCTTGTAATGAATGGTACACCCAATCTTATATTATATGTATTTATTTTTGACACATAGATAGAATAAGGAAAATTACAGCGTTAATGTTATATACCTTTAGCAGCTTCGAGGCTGGGTTCAGGCGAGTAAAGGTTGCGCAGGCGTTCCTCCCGCAGCCGGTACATGTGCGCGCGGATTTCTTTTTTCCGAGAGAAATCTTCCGTCTGCTGCCACTGGATGGTTGTATAATATAAATTAATTATAACAGAACATTACAGAAATTATTTTGGGTTTCACGTTAAAATTTTGGTGACTTTGACCTAATTGTATGATAAGTTCAATATGTCATTGTTAATTTCGTGAATGATATTACTTACCATGCGCCGCAACACGTCTTCGTCGCGAATTAAAGACACGTCCCCGTCAGACATTCTGGAACAAATAGATTTCTTTTAGCATTGAAAATACAGTTTCTTCTGAAAAACTTTCTAAGTAAACAATAAATCGCTTAACATTTAATAACCTAACTAGAACTAGATCGGAATTAAATAAACCAAAATAACGTGTTGTGTAGTCTTATGTGTTAAAAACGCCTACCATTTGAACCTTAAGTTAACATAACAGTAACTTATAGAATGATTAGTAGTAACTTATAGACAAAGTAGAAACAAAAAATTCTTTATTAATAAGTCACACTTTGTAATAAATTCGTGTTACATATGTTAAAAAAGTTCCTCTGATTCACACAAATAACACGAACAACTCAGTATTTGTAAAAAAAATCGCAACATTTATCTTAAATATATAATATGATATGATATACATATATTATTAGATATTTTAGGAACGAGAAGCCGCCGACACATTCGAAATTAATTTTACCTTCGCGTAATTGTACCAATAAAGATTAATATGCAATTAGTGTTTGTATATAAATGGACACTTCATACAGAATTATAACCAGACAAGGCTGGTTTTATGAGTAAGCAGCTTACTGAGCATGTTTGTCTTAAATCACAATGACCAACTTCTTCTAAAAACTACAAAATATACATAAGCACCAAAGCTTAAAATTTTAAGTTATGTGGAATTTTTAATTAATTAAAAACCCCGCCCGCTTTTGCCTTCGATAAAGTAATTTACCGATTAATACTTAAAGTATTTAGGCGATATTTGCCATATGGTGAGTAAGGCCACGACCATATATAGCGCTGTCCGCACTCCGCCCTTGTCTGCACTTGCCCTTATAAAGCTGCCCTACTTTCAGACCTCAAGATCATTCATGAAAATATGTAAACGTAAAGAATTTGATCAAATATTTGTCAGTTATTCCAACCAGATCGGCATAAAAATTTAAATCAAAAACAGCATTAATCAATATTCCTTAAAACTCAGAGTTAAAAGCTTAACGTCTTATCTACATTGTCTAAAGTGTACGTCTCGGGTCACCATTAGATGAGTGATGGATGGACTGTCATTAGCTTCGTCACAAGGCCCCGTTAAATTACGCTCTAGTACCACAAAGTCCTCAATCGCTGTAAACTACAAATTTAGTTTAGTTAATTTAGTTTCGCCAGAACATACTTGCTAAGTATAATTCCACTACGTGAATAAACAAGATCGTTTATTACATAATGTGATTCTTAAATTTAATTCGGATGAAACAAAGAGTAGTAAAACATTGACGTAAGAGAGTGGCAATAAGTATTATTGTTTTGACGAGAGAATAAGGGCGACATGGAAGCATAAAATCGATTAAGATGACACGACTGCCTTACACATTTAATTTAAGACAGAATATCAGTGCAATTTTAATTATTATTTAAAAACACTTCAATCGATGAAAATCAACTCTCAACCAAAATATCTTTATAATAATTGTCTGACAACTAAACTTATGTATCTCTTTTTTCATCTTTATTTCGCGTCTATTTGTTTAGGTTTCTAAATTAACTGAACAATATTTGAATAGCTATAGGAGAAATGTTCGCTTCCTAAAGGTCCTTGACCCGTCTCATCGCTCTTTTCGATCTCTTAAGGATCATTTTATCAATGATTAACTTGACTTCAGATACCAACGTTTACAAGTATCTCATTTGTAACCACATAGCATTTTTGCATTTTTAAAGCTTGAATTGGATCGAAACACTTTCTTTTAAGTATTATTGAATTTGATTCCACTCACAACATCACTTATAATTCAATCACCGTACCTCTGTAGCACATCAAACGTTGTACATCATGGTTCTTGTAGTAAATACTCGACTTTTACTGCGGGAGAAAAGTAGCAATGTAAGGTACGTAAGTATAAAGATATCTTGTGTGTGTGTGTGTGTCCTTAAAAAATATATTCTCAAAGGAAAGTCTAAAGAAAGTTGCATTAAGATTTTCGGCACATCGGTGATATTCAAGAAATTGCCATTCATGGATGCAAATTAAACAAAACAAAACATTTTGTCCATAGACGGACATGGACGGATGTATGAAAATATAAATAAAATATACACTAAAGTTTCGCTGAAAGATGTTCTTCTGGAATATATAATGGAAATGACAGTGCGACAGTTTCCATCGCCTCCTCAAGAACCTTTTGGGAACATTCATTACAACACCTTCCATAAAATTAGACAACTAAAATAATTTAAGGGGCAAGTAACGCCTTCCAATAATCGACTTAGAACATTTTTTCTTTTTATTTTTACCGATAGTCGTGATTTACTTAGAAGAGTGAGTGGTATTAACACAAAATAATAATAATTATTTTTATAGAAGCATACTTTAATTACAGGTTTTCTGAAACATGAACTTTTTAAAATAAACGTATTCTTTGTAAAGGACGGCTTAAACCCCATGGATGGCGATCCGAGGAAAAATGCCGTCATTTTGCCGAACAGGTTTCAATGCAAATAATCCTTTTATGGCTGTTAGGTACATATAATTCGATAATTTATGCATTTTAGCTTTGAGTAAGAGGTCTGAGAGAACTTATATTAGAATAAATTGATTACAAATTAATGTTATAAATGTGTAATCACATCGGAAAGAAGTTTGATACTACAATCATATCTAACAAATATCGCTTAAAAGTAATAATAGTTATTGTATTCACATAAAGAGAAAATGCTTCACATTCATTGCTACGGCATACATATAAGAAATGAACAGCATCAAATTCTGCTTATGCCAATGCTTTCTGGCACTTTCGTTTAATCGTTTTTATTTATAAACGATCGATTGTTCAAATTGTCAAGACTATACGTCATTATTCTGGACGCTGCATTGTTTATTGTGAACCTTATAGAGATCATAATTATACTGAAAGCATCTCATGAACCATATTTATGTTGTGTATACTGAATTTAAAAATAACCTTCTCTCACTGACTGACCGCATTGACAGAAGTTTTTTTTATCGAAGAAGGCAGTATATAATATAAGTTCTCAAATGAGATCACTCCATATCCAGGGAAACTAGTAAAGAAGAAACTACGACACTTTAAAATCTTAGGAAGGAATTATTGTACTAATTTTCGTATAAATTAATACTCTTTCAGTTTGAGATAAAGATTGATTATTATGTTTAACATTTATCACAAAGGTGATAAACAGAAACTGCCTCCATTAGCAAAATAAGTTATTGTGAATTGCAATAACTAAGTCAATCGTGTGTTCTCAGAAAATGTTTATTGTAACTTCTCAGTCAAACCGGTCACGCGACACTTTGTTTGGTTTATAATATTATGACAACGACTTTTCGAACCTACTCACAAATAATCATTAGCTTCCCCTGGTATGTGTTATTTCCATGATTAAATTAAAACAATAACAACACGATTAGCGCGGTATTAAACATTTAAATAAATGACCATTTTGCGAAATTATTTTAACTGCAGTCTACACACCAGTGACAAGACATTTCAAAAGAACATTAGTGAGTGAAGACACCTGACATATGAATTACGATCTATTTATGGCCAAGAACAGCCTCATAAATCCGGAGCAACCATCGTCCGTGGACGAACAAACGTACAGTATTGAGGAACTGGTTTCCGTTCGTGACGTTCCTCCTTAGGGGTGAAACTTATTTTAATTGTCCTCCTGTCTCCGACTTAATTCATTATTTTAAATGAATATTTTTGGGTGTTAACAGTGAATAATGTAACAGTAATGTAGTAGTACCCAGTAGCTTACATTTTGATAGAAGAATACGTTAATGTGTACTCTAAATTAAGGCTCTTGCAATAAAGGATTTAGATTGACAATAGTTTTAAAACTTAACGAATCCATAAAGGTGTCGGTTTCAAGTTTGTTTTAAATTGAGTGCCAGCCCTAGCTCGTTAGGAATCAGGTTTGGTATAATGCCTAGCAGCCTGGAGCAATCCGCGGCGAGTGGTGTATGGATGCTGGATCCAGTGTTAGTGCTGAATTTGTTAATATAATAGTAGTAGGTAATAGAATAAGGCAGAAAACTGTTTGAGTAAGAAAACTAAGACCTAAATGTGATAACGACATAATTACTTTTAGTAATCTACCTATCTATACGCCATCTTAATTGTATTTCTTTTGTTTTTCCAAAAACTTGCATAAAATTAATTTTAAAGTATACAATTAAAGTATACTTGGAGATTGGATTAGGTATAATGAAACAGAAGAAATGGTTATAATGCATTTTTGGCGTCGCCTTTTCAATAAAAGCCGATAACTAAGGTTAAAGTTAAATTGCCTGTAAAGATTTACGAATGTGCGCTCACTATATAAATGAATTAGCTGCTAAATGCATGAACGGTTCACGACGTGGCGTGCCCTGTGTTCATGGCTTCACGATCCAACCGACCTTAGGTATCAAGGAATATCGTTAAAGCATTTTAACTAAATAACGAATTAAGCATGCATAGGCCATGCATATAGGACAGTTAGTGGTATATTTATTAGAAAAATAAGCTTAAACTTTCGTGTACAGATAAATTTGCAAGTCCCAGACTTTTGATGAACTTCTGCGAATCATCAAAAATCCCCTTAAGTATAATTTTCTAATTCCGTGATTATTAGAGGATTCCTAACATGGTTCATAATAAATAGGATAATGTTACAAATGCACATACTGTTTTTTTATTTACATAATGATGCGGAACGAAGTGATGGGCTCCATTGTCAACTTTCACGACTAACTAATGTCAAAGCGAATAGTTATAAAAGAACAATATGATGTCACGACTAACTAACGGACAATTTAGCTTTTCTTGGAAGAGGAACAATCAATTATACGTTAAACATTAGGTATTCTTTTAACTCATGATAGTCATAAGATTTGTTGTAAACAGAATCGTCAGTCTAAACACACCCACGCTTTGCTCGCAAAAACATTAATTCCGCTGGAGTCCTCTAAAGGAGCCGTCAAATTTTTATAACATTAAATTATTTAATGCAAACAGAATTGAACATAACAGTAAATAATGCGTGTAATACTGTCAAGGTAGGCGATATGCAGACTATTTTTTATTTACGCAAATGACATCATGGCCAATACCGATAAAAATTGTATACCATATTTTCCAGAAGGCTCGCAAGTGCGTTTCCGGCCTTTTAAGAATTGGTACGCTTTTTTTTGAAGGACCCTAAGTCGAATTGGTTCGGAAATACTTCAGTGGGTAGCTGTGGTTGAGAGTGGTTCCACATAGTAGTGGTGCGTGTCAAGAATTGCCTTAAGAAACGCTCAGTTGTGGAGCGACGGACGTCGATGTGATACGGAGCACCAAGTCATTGTTTAGAAGCGCGGCGTCCAAAGTTAAACTAGCCATGATGATCGCCAACCTTCGCAAGGAGATGACACTATTAGAAGAAGATGTAAAATAAGCCATTTCAGAGAGAGTGCGAGGCGTGCAGACTGATAAAGAATAAACATGTACAATAGGAATCAGGATACCGGCAAGGTCCTAAAGCTAGGCCATAAAGATAAAATAAGTACTACGTAGGAGACATAGGTGGGCGAAGACACTGAACATTACGTCACCTGTATTTCTCACCTATTGTGCTGTTACAGAAAATATAAATTTATGGCATACGGCACTTGAGATAATAGAGATGATGACTTCAAACTAAACTTTTCCAATCTATATGTGCATAGCAATATCAAGATTTAATTGTTTATTTATTTATTTCACACTATCTTTGAATGCTTAGTTAATTGATAACACATATATGTACATATTTTTCTGACTAAGAGCTCTTACATTTTTAGAATGAAACAAATGTGAAGGATGTAATTGAGTAGAAAAAGGTTTAATTATTTAAGATGGTTCATGTCTTAATTTCGGGGAAAATCAGCCGCAAGACTTTAGATTATTTGTAATTAATTGCTGTATCAAAACTACTAAGTCTGACAGATTTAAAATAATAGATATTCTACGTTTACTTCAAATTACTTTATAATACAACACATTTAAATTAACCTTTTATACTGATTTAAACGTGAAATTATTAAGTTTGCTATGAAGCATTTAAATTGTCATGCAAATGTCGGCATGTGAGAAGTTAAAGAAGTTTCATCGAAATGTCTATATTCTATTGATCATCAAAACAACAAACAGGTATTATTATTGATTATACACTGAGCCTTTGATTAAGGTTAAACAATCTTGATCTTCAATCAACGCATTGATAGGTATCTATTTATCTTTAATATTAAGTCTGGCGATTTAGATATAGAGAAGGTAAATACCTTGCTAACTATGCTTCTTTCATTCGCAAGTCGGTCTTAATGAGGTATTATAAATTCTTTAAAATAAATATACAGACTCTAAAATGAGCATAACAGTATTAAGTAACTTATTAGATATCTCATTCATGCAGATTCGTCTAAGGACGGAGTAGCCATACTTGCACGTACAAAGATGAGAATGAAAGATGTAAATACGAGGCTGAGACTCGTATGGGGCTGAGTGAAATCTTTACTTAACATGTTACAGTGGGGCCAGAAATATATCTGATTTAGATAGTTGAATATAAAATGTTTTTGAATTCATTACTATCAATACGTTAGAACAAGGAGATGTCTTTTGATGGAGATATTTTGGTGACATAAAAAGCAGGCAATAAACTTTAAATTTTGCTCACCAAGTGAAGAATGCGCAGGCGACAAGTAGTCGCAGCGCGCGTCGTTGGGACTCTAAGTCTACCTGCGTCCACGCAGCCAAAACCCACGCTCTCTGACACGGCTACATGGAGGATTCCACCTTGCAATCAATTATTTTATCCTACGATTTCAATTCACCAGTAACAATATTGAAAGTTCAGGTGTTATCCAACAAAAAAGTAGTACAGACTTATTACACTTATTTTTTAAATGGAATAAAACATTACCATTATTATTAACTCACCAAAAAATTTATCCGACCACTATAGTTTTTGAAAATAAAATCACAAATATACTATAACCAAATCAGGGTAAGCTACGCACAGCCACAGCCAGTACAATTGTGAATAATTTATATTTAAAGGTGTTATTAGGATATTAATATACTTGAAACCAATCAATGATTTTAACACTGCATTCTTTACATATTGTGTAAATAATACATGTTTTCCTCAAAGCATCAGAATTTTTTTTTTATTCCGATTTTTTCTTTATTTTTTACTTATTTCTTTCTTTATGTGTTTTTATTAATTTAAAAGTAGGTAATTTTTACGTTTCTGGCATATAAATGTCAGAAGTTAATTACTAGATTAAATCGAGAGCGATCACTGAAATATTATATTTTAAAAATAGACAGACTTTTTTAGAACAGCGGAAGCGTATTAGGACAAACATAGTTGTACACGTTCAATTATTAATTAAATTGCTTTCTCTCAACGCTCAAGTTAATCAATATTAGAACTGGAAAATCCAGGAAGAGAATAAACAAAAAAAAATATGATATATGCCTATTTTATTGATTATTATCAAATAACATGTAAATACAAAGACAATTTTCTCGCTTTATACTTGGTGGTGTCAGTTTAATCACACCAACAGTTAACGTTGAAGAAGCTTCCACAATGTCCTGACTTGTAACCTCTGTTTTTGCACTCCTGTCTGCAGTCGCTGAAGTAGTCAACGGCTCCCCACACGCAGCTGCCGATGTGAACGGCGGCTTCGGCAGGGTTGGAGAACACCACGAGGAGGGCAATGCTGCACAGGCACATCAATACGAAGCGGGAACTCGCCATTTTAAAGGTTGCTGAAACTGTTAAACAAATCTAAAGAATAAATGAGATAGGAGACACATAATTTGAATACTATTTCTTTTACTTTTCATATTAAGGTCTACGGATTTTTTTTGCAAATAAAATAACTAATAAATAAACAATTTTTTTTTTAAATTAAATATATAGAATACCTGTACAGTATCCAATATATATATGATAATAAAATACCTTAATTTTATATGGAGAATATATGCTTAAATACACCAAAATCCGAAAAGAACTTTGTATAAAAGAGATTTGCAAATTACAAATATTAGTTAATACTTACTTATATGCCTACGTTGCAAGTCGCAAGAACAGAATGTGTAACGAACAGAAATGTATCGCTTTTATACTGAATCAGTGACATTATCTAAGGCATTCTTAATCTAATTGTTGGGAAAATACAGTTGACCGGTCTCAGGTATTTTGTTTATTTTCCTTAACGAGGGAATCGTGTGGTGACGCCCGTCCGACGCACCTGTAGCGCGGCAACCACACAGAGCGACGCTTGTGTACAACAAACAGGAGGAAGATATTGAAATAAAAACAAGTTATCAATTGAGAATTAGTACAACGTTGAGGAAAACATGTGGAAAGCGCTGTGAGTGTTGTTGGATTTAATATGTTAAAATCATAATAGCATTCAATCTAAGCTGTTTCTTATAGTTAAGTCTTAGTCAACCATTTCACAGACATTGGAATAGGTACGCGGGAATAAGAAGTAAGAAAATGACACTTTCACCTCACCGAAGAGGTATTATATAAAAATGCTGCCATTTTTCCTGGCTTTGTATCAGTGTCAATTTATAGATCTTGCAATCTAATTATAATTAATATGTAGCGTCTTTCAAGATCCGAACGCGTACAATTGAATTAATATAATATTACTATTTTAATATTATACACCTAAAAAGTTTGTTTACCAACGTGCTATACAAATAACTGGTTCGAGTTGAAATTGTTTGTTATTGAATTGTTTATTTATCGACAAAATTAACGCAGGTTTGACAGCTAGTATACTAAATTAAGGTAAATTTCGTGCCGTTGAAAATGTAATCGAATATATTATTTTCAAATAATGAAATAGAATAGAGAAGAAAATATATAAATCAAACAACTATAACTTCTCTTACGCTTTAAACGACCTTAAAATACTCACTTCTAAGTTAAACAACAATATTAACAGTTTAACTACATCTTCAACTTAGTTTAATATATATACATCTCATTGTTTTACTAAGCTTGTGCCATGCTAGAACGAAATACGAAACATGTTTAAAATGCATTTAATTGACGGTAACGTGTGAATTATAACAGAATTTTAGCGGAACAGTGTGAAACGAGAGAGGTAATCCTAAATAAACGAAACATTGATTTTAAGTTCGGTTCTTACGAAATATGATAATAATATATGATGTAAATTTACTGAAAATATTTTCCTTTAGCCGAGTGGTACTTTCGAAGCTACGATGGAGCATGGCCTGTCACATTTCTCCCTTCAGCCTTTTGCCGAAGACATGCCGATTTCTCCCTTTGACGCAAGAGGGCACTTACAAAGATAAATACTTTTATACGCCAATGTAATCTCAAATTTTAGTTGCGTGCTGAGACTAATAGTGCCAAACAAATGTAAGATCCTCCACACCAAATCCGAGTAGAAGTATCTTTAGAGGCGTCATGCAATCCTTGCATTTTCATTACAGTGAGCTGGTCACTGGTCTGTAAGTCAATGTCGTGCGAACGGTGACGGTGACGTCACCTCTTCTACGCCAAGCATAAGAGTGCTCTAATGTTTTAGAAGTGCTGGATCAATTGTTATGATTAGAAATGCATAAAAGATCACATAATATGGTTGCTATGAGCTGCACAGTGTATCAGGTTCGCAGGTAATTTCGAGTGTCTTACCCAAACAATTAAGAAATGTACACAGAACCAATTAGGAAAGACCCGGGCCTTTAATTATACTTAGTGATTTGAAGTAACGATTATTAACTATGTCAAATGTGTTAATGATTTAATAGTGTTATTGATATGGTAAATTATGGTTAATTTAATAAATTTTAAGGTTTGTAACATTGGACTAACAAACATAATTATAGATATTAGGCGTATGGATTGCTAGTCTCCGGACGCTTATTTAGGAATTAACTAATTATTATAACAATATTTACTTAAAACAAGAAAGGAAAATATTATTCATAAAACAATTTTAACTTGTATTCGAACAATACATGGATACAAAAACGCTAAAAACAATTTACGACATATTTTGTTTGTATGAGATTAGACGTTTCTTGGTATTGTTGGTACATAGTTTTGTAACAAATTATCAGTCTTTCAACCGTAGACTCTTAGCTCACTGATGCGTCACCGACCCTTGATTATGATTAGTACATATTTGTCAAGTTTGTATTATTATTGACATGAACGACTTTTTCCCTATTAATTAGAATCGTAGTATAAAGTCAATTGAGGATAATCATTACTGAAACAGGTACTAATTTGAGCTTACAATATAAACATTAGTTAGTAATATTTTAAATATTTTTTTTTTAATTTTAATCTTGGGCCGTGGGGTTCAAGTGCATAGGCGCTTATTAAAGACCAGCTGGTGCCCGCGACTTCGTCTGCGCAGGATTAGTATTTCAAGTAGCTTATATTAGCATGGCGTAGAAAAAAACGAATAAAGATATTGACTACTTAAGATAAATATTTCCGTCATACAATACATAATATATGTAATTCCAGCGGTTTTGGCAGCGCACGCCAGAATAGCTCGCAGATGGTAGATTTCTTCCTACTTACTTGACTTTTGGACAATTCACACAATCTTTATAAATTGTAGCCTATGTGTTATTCTGATGTATAAGCTATATTATTGTAAAGTTTCAATCCATTCAGTATTCTTTACGTGAAAGAGTAACAAACATCCATCCATACTTACAAACTTTCGCGTTTATAAAATTAGTAGGATCTAAGTTGGCGCCTGATAGATATTACCGGTGAGCCCAGAGCTGGTGCTTTCCTCGTTATATTTATTATTGTTTAATAATTATTATTATTACTATGTAGGTTAAGAAAATTGTAAATACTGTATAATTTTAGTTATTTTTTTTTTATATAACCTAAAAAAATATAAATAAGAAATATATATTCGTATGAAACAATTGTGCAATAAACGGCTTACCGAATATAATCAATATTACACTTAATTACTCTTTTATCTCGTTTTTATAAAAAAAAACCTATTTATATCTGTAAAATCAACTATTGTTATGCTGAATGGATTAAACATAGTAGTGAGTAAATATATTTAAAAATGTTGCGCAAGAAAAGCAAGTTAATTTTACAATTATTGCAAATTAATATCGCTCGATGAGACAAGCACACGCCCACGTTCCACCTACTTCACTTTGATTTTATTTCATTTTATTGTTTCACGAATGCTGTCATACGATTCCGATCAGAGAAGACGGTGCACATTATTCGCGTCGCTTATTGTGGCAACAAGCATTTCACGAAACCAAATTCAAAGAAAATTATCAGTAAAACAGTTAATCTTTTTGCCCCACGCTTCTATGGGAGTTACGGGACTTACGAAACATGTAACCATAATCTTGCGTTGCATACAATAATTGACATTATTGCAGAAAGTGAATAAATAAATTCCCAAAAAATGTATTGCTGACCGGTGGCTATGTTAACAAAAATAAATTTTAGGTTATAATTGCATATAGATATCATAATAGACAAAGTTGCTTAATTAATGAATGTTCATCCAAGTAGAAAAGGAACTTAGTAAAGAGACAAGGTTAAATAGGAGGGCGACACGCATCGCGTCCCGACTTGAGTGCCAGCCTGTGAAAATTCACTTTGACGACACTATGGGAGAGCTTTTGTTCTTGCAACTTTTAATGCAGATATTGGCATTTGTGATAATTGCTTTTTTTACATAAAAGGGGGAAAACGAGCCTGCGGGACGCCCAAAAAGGGCAGTCATCGCAGCCCATAGACTATCAATTTAGTGGGTGCGTAGCCGGCCTTTGAGGGAGGAGTACACTCGAATTTTGTATAGTTGGAGGTCTTATCTTTTAGGTAAAACGACCACCGGGAGTCGATTCCACACTTCAAGTATTGAAGTATTTCAACCATCGCCATCTAGTCATATCTTTGTAACAATATCAGTTTCACTCTTTCTGCTGATTTTTTTAGCATAATTCAGAAGAAGTGCATACATTTGAAATATTGTATAATATATGTCTATCTTAAGGTTGCAAACCAATATTAATTTAATCATATAAACGTGAAAGTCCTATAAATTAGATGTATAAAATGATTTTTAAGTCCTGTACGACCTCGTGAATGCGTTTGTGAAAAGGCATTGACCGTTGCAAAGACTTGCGGTCTTAATAAATAAAACTCCAATTGATAAATAAGGAACGAAAGCCCTTAGTCGAATTATGTAGTAAAACTATTGCTTTATAGTTTACTACATATCTAGTAATTATTATTGTTAAATAGCACGCCACAATGACCCTCAATGAGAACCTCAATCTTTCTCCTATTCAAATCGGTAAAACCAAATGAACTAATCAACAAGAACAAAGGTTTATCCGCGAAGTAATTACTAATTATATTAATTAATTATTCCGTGTGCATCGTATACATAGAGTCGGCATTCAGTGGAGATAACGAAAGGAATGCGGAGGTAAATAGACAAACTAGAGTACCTACTTGTGATAGAACACGTAGTCAAACTGTCATGTTGGTCGGAGATGATAATGATATAATCCAAGCATGTACTGTAACAAATATCTCCAATAGGTAATGTACGTGGCATATAACTGTTCATTTTGCCCCCAGATTCAAATCCAAGGTCTCGAGCTTAAAGAATCCTAGAAAAAGCTCTTGGTACTTACTTTTAAAATTATCAGACTACATGAACAATAAGTTACAATTTTCTATAAATAATGTGAAGAAAGTGGCAAAATAAGACAAGGACGAATAAGGCCGCACTTACTATCAATTTAATTTAATTAATTCCGACAGAACCAGTTTTTAACGATCTTGTTCTGTTATCACTTATCATTCGTAGAATTAACAACTTGCTATACTTACTACAAAATAAACTCACTATTTACAGGTTGATGTTAAAGGCAGAACTCATCTTAAACCTTCCTATAACTATCGGCTGAAGCGCAGAGAATCAGAACTGTAGTCACACTTGTTACCAAAAGCTAGCATTCTGAAGAAATACAAACAATTAATTCTGGAGTTGAGTTTTGCCATATGAAGTATATGGCATCCGAACAAGCTTAAGTTATGGTTGGAAAGTTCAAAAGCTCTCCAGAAAATGGATTCCACAGAGTGGGTCAGTGAGTGACGCGATAGACACAAGATTACTATCTTGTAATGAAATATAGGTTAGGAGACAAGTCATGCTCTGGTGCCACTGTATCGGGTGACACTGACGCAAGCCAGGAATGTTGCCCTTTGTTCATCGGTCCTCCGTCAGGGTTGGTGGACAGTGTAAAGTAACAACTGGTTAAAAACCATAACAATGGATCATCCTTGTTTTAAGATAAATGTAAGTAAATATGCCAATACCAAAAAAGGTTTAGTTAGTCAATAGCTTACGAAGACTGTCACTTGCAGTTTACATCGAAGGAAACATGATTTATTGTTTCACCCCTGTCCGCTGAACAGAGGAAAGATAGCGCAAATATTCTATTCTGTAAATCTATTCTGTCCATACTAAAGAGACAACCCTTAATGTA